ATGGGTTAAGAGCTCGATCATATGGGTGATGGAGCTATCAAAAATATTTAATTGTATTTTTAATTAAATATTTTAAATTTAAATTAATTTATTAAACTATAAATATTATTTAATTTTTATTATTAATTTATTTAAATATTTAAATAATTTAGAAATTGAATTGAGTGTTTCAAGGAAATAGGGACTAGTTTGTCGGTTGAACTGGTGGTTCTACCCGGTTCATTCCTATTTAATACAGAAATGATTTTCGTGATGATCAGAATCGGTCTTAACACCAGTTCACAATTGAACCAACCTGGCCGGTCCAATCCGAATTTTAAAATCGTGGAAAAAATAAAAATAATGGAAAATTTGCGATTATATATTTTATATATTATTTGACTATATTTTTAAGATATTTTTGTTAAACTTTTTTAACCATAACTTAACCAACAAATTATACCTCTAATGGCATTCCCATTGTCTGCATAAGCATCCCCCCACCTCAGCAATAATACCAACGAAGAGAACCACGTCATCCACTTTCTTCTCTCACTCTCTCTTCTCTGTTGAGCTGTTCTGATCTCCCTTAACCAGTGCCATGGAAGAATGGTTTGTTGCTCCAATCATAAGGATTTATGTTATAGTGAAGATGATTTAAATCCGCACTTGTATTGACATGTGTTAATTTCTTAAGGATTTATACTAATGCTCAAAAACTATAAAAAAATCATTGTGATTAAAAAACCACAATATTTATGTTATAGTGAAGATGATTTATGATTTAATTAGGCTTATATTGACTTATGAAAAAAATTATTTGATTGAATTATTATAGGGATAAATGCTTGATTTTGTTGTTGTGATGTGTTTGTTCTCGCTATCTCTTCTCTGTTGAGTTGTTCTGATCTTCCATGACCAGTGCCATGGCAGAATGGTTTGGTGCTCCAATCATGGAAAAGCTCATCAAAACTGGCTTTCAATACCTGGGAGATCAAACCCGATGGCAGAAAGGCATAAAGGAGGAGCTCGAAAGGCTGCGAGAGAGCCACCCCAAGATCCAAGCTGTCGTGGACTTGGCTTCCAGCCAAGAGCAGATCAGAGACCGAAATCCGGCTCTCAACGAATGGTTATGTGTTGGATGACCTTGAGTACATGAAGCTTGAAAAACAGCTGAAATGTTCAGTAGTATGACATAACTTGAGTAGTATGAGTCATATAAAGATAAAAGAAAAGTGATTGTAAGGTAAAGCGTAAATACATTACTTTTAAACATTTTGATGTTTGATTTGATGAAAAGTAAATCCCAGATAAATTAAAGTAGATGCACTGTATTTTATTTTAGTTCGTTTTTGAGATAAAGCGTTCTCGTCCAATTTGACTAATAACACTTTAAACAGCTCAAGTGCCTCCTTAATCACCCATAGCAACCACTGTTTCCACCGCCACTTGCTTCCTGCCGTCTACCATCATCATCTGTCGGTGGCCCACGCCTAGTAACCGGGTGTCGAACTTTTCTGTTGGTTTTGTAGGAAGCCGCCTGCCATTTCTTGAGACTAGCATGCCTCATGGTCTTTGTTGCATCCTAGAGTATTCGCGCCGGTAGAGAAATATAAAATTTAACGTCTTAGCATTGTACGAAAATTCGGCACGCAATCAAATAAGGAGAGAGGGTCTACCATTTATGAGACACCAAGATTTTTACGTGAAAAACCCTTGAAAAGGGTAAAAAACCATGGGGCCTAGCCCAGTTTGAATGAATCCACTAGTATTGCAGTCGATTACAAATGAGGCCCTTACTTGGGAGAAGGCCTTAGCTTGATGTACATTTTATAGAGTACATCACATGATATGAATACAAAGAATCACTATTGACATGTTCGTTTGGTCGGGAGGACCGTAGTCGGCGAGCGATGGAGGTCGGAGGGCTTGTAGTCGGTGGACGACGTAAGTCAGGAAGACCGTAGTCGGCGGGCGACAGAGGTTGGAAAGACTGTAGTCGGCGGGCGACATAAGTCAGGATGACCGTAGTCGACGGGCGACGGAGGTCGGAAAGACCGTAGTCGGTGGGCGACGTAAGTTAGAAGGACCGTATTCGGCTGGCGACGGAGGTCGAAAGGACTGTAGTCGGCTAGCGACATAAGTCAGGAGGACCGTAGTAGGCAGGAGACATAAGTCAGGATGACCGTAGTTGACAGGCGACGGAGGTCGGAAAGACCGTAGTATGACGACGAAGATCAAAAGGACTGCGTCAGGTAGAAGTCCAACAATGGAAAGAAATCCATCTTCGCGTAGACGTCTAGCAAAGTCCGATAACCGTTAGAAGTCTGACGTCGGGCAGAGCCTTGGCGAAGAGTGAAGGTCCGACGTCAGGTAGAAGTCCGACGTCTGTTGGTGGCAGAGGAGAACTCCGGCTTCACTTGGGCGGAGTTTCGGCGTCATGAGGGAACTCTGTTGCAAATTGGGAAGAATTCCAGCATCACGTGGAAGTTGGGCAGAATTCCTGCGTTCTCTCGAATATCACGCATAATCCCGGCGTGTTCGGGCGGCAGGATGAACTCCGGCAGTGGTCGAGGAGGAGAGGATTCGCCTTTTCCTCTTTTCCTTCTTCTTCCCTTCTTCTTCTCTCTCTTCACTTGAGTCCCCTTGGTAGAGCTTGTATGGCTCTATTTATAGATTTTCTGGAGTAGCATGGATTGTAAATAGACGTGAGATCATGGGCGAATGGGGGAGTGGTTTGAATGGACGGCCGATATCGAATCATTTGATCATGCACCGTTCATTGGACATTTGAAGGCCTTAATGATATCAGAATTCGGCGATCTTGGGCTCGTTGGATTTGTCTCGTCGAGCCGCTCGATTCGAGTATAAGCTCGTTAAAATCGAAGACCATTTGATAACTCAAATTGCAGTTGGAACCTTCCAACAGCGCTTTTGGTTCTTGATCCGGACTCATTTGGGCTCGGATTGGGTTGAACTTGGTGTTGTTGGATTCGTATTTCTGAGACGCTCAGTTTGACTGTAGGCTCGCTTAAAAAAGAGTTCTGGTGCTTCCGGATTTAATTTTTGAAGTTTCCAACTAGCTTTTGCCTCGAGATTCATGCCCGATCAAGCTAATTTTGTGATGTCGTATCAGTCTTCTTGATTGATTTTTGGTTATTTTTGTTGCTCATAAAATGACCAAAATTTGGGTTATTTTGCCTTTTTGAGGTAATTTTGCAAAATATGCTTTTATTCTAGTGATTAAAAGATTAGTAATCTTTAGTTTTTTTGGTCTCTTTTTGGATCTATGATTGTAAATCCTTTTTTCATTTAGTGAAATTTAAAATTTTCAGCTAAAAAGATTTGTAACTTATAGTAATGGAGTTCACACTAGTAGACGACCTGTTCCTTTGAAATTTAGTCTTTGAATATTCCTCTCCTAGATGGCTGCCTGCTTTTTTTTTTCTTAGCTACTTTGGTTAATGTGGGATTGATTATTAGTGCTACTAAAGATTGTGAAATTGAGAATAGTGCTCCAGTTGCCTTAGTTATGGGTAATATTTACTGCCAAAAATGACCTGTTCTTCTTCTAGTGATTTTTTAGTCTATCTACAAATAATAAGCTTGCTCAAATTAGACTCCTATTGAATTCATTTTGTTATTAGTTGATGCTTAAGGCTTTAAACACTACAGGAAAAACATTGATTTCCGGTGGAAATAAACTAGTCAGAAATTCTGACAAATTTTCTCACGTATTTCCGACGGATTTACGATGGATTTTTTGGAGCTATTTCCGGCAAATTTTTATCGAATTTTCTAATGAATTTCTGACGAAATTTTAAATTTTCTGAAAATGACAAGTAAAAATAATTAAAATTACTCATTTTGTTAAATTAAAAATTTTAATAATTTATTGTTAAATTAAATAACATATAAATTAAATTAAACAATCTCTGCTTTTATAAATTAATTTAATTATTATTAATTTTATGATTTAAATAAAATATAAACTCAGCTTTTAAAAACTTGAAATAAATTATATTAAATATATTAATTATTTTGATCTTTAAATAAATTAATTATTTTAAATGAAATATTCTGTCATTTATATTCTAAATTAAAAAAAATCCCAACTATTTTTACGTTTTTGCACTAGTGGCATGATGGTTTGCATGCAATTGGGGCACTGAATGGCGGACAAATTATTTTGTGCGGAGTCCGGACATCGTCTAGAGACCAATAAAAATGAGTCACATCACCCCAAAGTGTACTGCGGTTGGTACCCAGTGCCACCGGACCGTTCTTCCATCGATGTCCGCACAGAATAATCTCTCTAAATGGCGAGAGTTCGAATCCCGCCAAGCGCAGTTGCGTCGGCCCTCGGGCGGATTGCATTGGCATGAGGCTGGACGGGTCGGCAATGGTTCAATCGGTGTTAGCCATGACGGGTTACGGGTCATGCGGGAGTGGTGAGCCTAAGCGGGGGTCGTTGTATTCAGTTAGTTTTTTATTTTCATTTTTTTTATTTTTATGGCAGATATTCAAGTGATATTTTTGAGGGATTTTTCGGCGGATTTTTGATGGAAATTTTTCCGGCGAACTATTTTATATTGGTAGCAATTTTTCGATGAGCTTTTTATCGACGGAAATACTAATTTCTGGCGGATTTTGACCATTTTTTGACGAAAATAGCTGCCAAAAATGATGTTTCTCTGCAGTGAAATAATTTAAATTGACCTTAATACTATACTAATGAAGTTTTTTTTTCTTTTTCTTATCAAAATTGGATCAAATTTAAACATTATTTGATTTATATCTTATTCAAAGTTTATTTATAAGAAACTTATTTTAAGTTTTCTTTTAAATAAGTTTTTTTTTACAAGTATAACTAAAATTTCATGAAGATAAATTTTATAGGTATTCAATATATAAATATATCATAAATTTTGATTGATAAAAATAATTAAATATACATGAGAATCGCATGACTCATTTAAATCTTATCTCTTCTTCTCTTTCACTGTTGTCTTTCTTGACTTCAGTCGTGAACTGACGACGACGGCGCAGCTTCGTCTTCTCTCTTATATTCTCCGTTTACTCGTCTTAGGCTGTTCACGTCTCCGCGAAGCCGTTGGATTTCAAAGGAACGGTCGAAATGAAGGTTTCCCCTACACAAGGCAATCATCCTAGGCTGCTCTTGGAGACTATCTAATCTTTATCTCTTCCATACTTCCAATCTCTGTTTCTCCTACTGTTCAGTTGTTCTGCTCTCTCTACCTCGATCGTCGCTTCCATGGCGGAATGGTTTGTTGGTCCAATCATGGACAAGATCATCAACACTTGCTCTGATTACCTGGAAGAGCAAGTCGGATGGCAGACGGGCATGAAGAAGGAGCTTGAAAGCCTGCTACAAAACCACCCCAAGATCCAAGCTGTCGTCTTTGCCGCTAACCAAGCACAAATTAGCGATCAGAATCCGGCTCTCAACAAATGGATATGGCAACTGCGAGATGCTGTTGATGAGGCAGATGATGTGCTCGATGAGTTTGAGTACATGAAGCATAAAGAACAGCTGACTAGAAACATGGAGGAAACAGATCAGGTGCGTTCTCTATCATCAGCTACCTATTTGATAATGGTTGCAAATAAATATATTTATTTTATAATCTATTTCTCGCTAATTTTATCAGAAAAGAACGGCCAACGCGAGCTTCCTGATTGAAAGTGCTTCCAAAATTCGCAAAGTTGGCGAACGCGCTCTGAAGATTGATCCCAACTTGAAGAGGCTGGAGGAGGTTGTGCAGAAACTAGATAAAGTTTCAGCTGGGGTTAGTACTTTTCTTCATATTCTAGATAGCGCAAAGCAGGAGCAGCGGGAGCAGCAGCGTGAGTTGTCTGAAGCACGTGAAACAGGATCCTTGCCTACAAATGATCTCATCGGTAGAGGCGAAGCTAAGGAGTTTGTTATGCAGTGGTTGAGGAAGCTATCAAATGAGCATCGGGGAACTGATTTGTACAGAAACATTTCTCTTCTATGTATTGTGGGCCATGGTGGTATGGGGAAGACAACGCTCTTGCAACATGTTTATGAAGATGAAATGACAAAGGAATTTGATCTTAAAATGTGGGTTTGTGTTTCCAACAACTTTGATGTGAAAAAAGTCATTGCAGATATGTTGGAATCTCTTAAGAAGAAGAGGCCTCGTTTGGAGACACTTGAGGCACTTCAAGATAGTCTTCGTATTGAGATTATGTCCAAAAAGATCTTATTTGTGCTGGATGACGTTTGGGAGAATGATGAGGAGCAGGATAAAAAAAAATGGGAGAAGTTGCTCGCCCCTCTGGCTCATGGGAAAATTAGTAGTAGCATTTTGGTAACAACTCGAATGGACTCCGTTGCTTTGACGATTGCAAAGGTGATTAAAAAGAAGAAGGAAACATTTCAATTACAGGGCTTGGAGGAAGATCAATGTTTGCAGCTCCTCAACTCTCATGCATTTGCTGATGTAGAGAATCCTAATAATTATAAAAGATTAAAATCCATTGCTAGAGAGGTAGTTAAAAAGCTTTCAGGATCTCCATTGGCAGCCAAGGTCATTGGTGGTGTTTTGAATTCTAGTTTGGATGAAAGACATTGGACAAAAGTTTTAAATAGTGATTTTGTAAGTCCAAGATTGGGTCGGGGAGACATCTTTCTCATTTTAAGATTGAGCTATATGTTCCTCCCTAAATATCTACAAAATTGTTTCGCATTTTGTTCTATATTTCGACAAGATTATTGGTTTGATAAAGATGATTTAGTCAAAATGTGGATTGCATTGGGTTTCATTCAGCAACCTCATGATCAAGAATGGACTATGGAGGATATTGGAGGAAGGTATTTTGATATTTTGGTTAAAAAATCTTTCTTTGATAAGTTTCAAGATGGAAGATACTACAAGATGCATGATTTAATACATGAATTGGCACAATCAGTTTCCATACATGAATGTTTAAGAGTTGAGGATAGTACAAACTTGCCTTCTATAATTCCTAAGACTCTTCGACACTTGTCTGTTCAAACTACAAATCCAGATATCATAAAAAAGATTGGGCAGTTTAAATATTTGCATTCACTTTTCTTGTTCCATGAAGCTTCTAATCAGGATATCAATGCACTTATCGAAATATTCAAAACATGGAGAAGCCTATGCTTATTATACATACATGCTTCAGCAAGGTTGAAAATGATACCAGAGGAGATTGGAAATTTGATACATCTTCGATACTTAAAGATTGATGGTGATTATGATTTGACCATGCTGCCAAGTTCTCTAAGTAATCTCTATCACTTGGAATACATAATCTATGCTGAGAGACTGGGGGCACTAAGCCAACCTAATATTTATGATTTTTTACCAAGTAACTTTAATAACCTTTCAAATTTGCGTTACATGAAATTCCGCCATAATTATATTTCATTGATATGTGGCATTGGGAAGCTAAAGTCTCTTCAAGAATTGAATATGTTTGATCTTAGAGATGTGAGTGGTTATAGAATTGGGGAGCTGGAGAATATGAATGATCTTTGCAAATTAGGAATCAATTGCCTTGAAAATGTTAAGGATGCTGAGGAGGCTTGTAGTGCCAAATTATGTGCCAAGAAGAGGCTTACAGATCTAACCTTACGTTGGAGTAACACTGATTCGAGGAATATCGATTTAGATGAGAACGTGCTCGACAACCTTCAGCCACCAAAATGTCTAAGGAATCTGAGGATAGTCAGATACATGGGTGCAAGGTCTGCAATATGGAGGAACAATGTCAATCCGATCTTCAATCTAGAGAGGATCGATTTGTATGAATGCTTGGAGTGTGAAACTCTTCCACCTTTTGGGCAACTTCCCTTCCTCAAGTCACTGGAACTTTATAGGATGCCGAAAGTAAAATGGCGCGAAAGTAAATTTAATGGGAATGATAAATACTATGCCTTTCCATTGCTAGAGGTTTTACGTATTCGGAGATTAAAAGCATTAGAGGATTGGTTTGAGGCAGGAGTAGCTGCTGAAGATGGATGTTTGTTTCCTTGCTTAATTGAACTGGAGCTATTTGTCTGCCCGAAGTTGAAAGAGTTGCCCTTTTTGCCTCCTAAGCTCAAGATCTTGTGGATGGATAACACTAAGTGGAAGACTTTCAATTTTTGTAGCAATTCAAATCCCATTCCCCTTGAATTATTAAAGGTCTTTGACTGTCCAAACATTACATCTCTTCCTCTGGCTGATGAAATAGCAAGACTTGCAGCACTAAGAGACTTGAGAATTATTAAGTGCCCCAATCTGAACTCTCTGGGAAGATATCGAGAAGTGGAGACCACTAATAATTGCCATCTCATGCTCAGCTGTCTCTTTATAAGTGATCCATCGGTGTTGCTAATGGAGCCATTGAGAAGTATCGCCTCCTTAAAAGAGCTGTATATTAAGAATAATGATGAGTTGGTTTCATTTCCAAATGAGGCGGAGCAGTGGTTTCTGAATGTTAGGTCTCTTTCTGAGCTGAAATTTAGATATCTCGCGTCCTTACAGTCTCTCCCTTCCTCCTTGGAAAGCTTATCTTCACTTCAGAATCTAGATATTAATGACGTTCCTATGCTTCGGGAATTACCGAACCTTCCTCCCTCTTTAAAAAGTCTATCAATTTCGCCGGAATGTCATCCAGAGTTATATGAGCGCTATCGAGAGGATGGAGGCTCCGATCGCCACAAGATTGCTCACATTCCTCATATCTATCTATATTCATCCCGGATAATATAATAGTTCCAACTTTAATGAAAATTTCAAAATACAAAAGCTGCAAACTTCTTTCTAGTATCTTATTTGTCTAATATATATGAAATCTTAATAATGCATAATATTTAAGCATTAAACAGTTTGAATCACTTGATTGATGTACTCAATTTTATTTATGTGTCGCTTGGTGGTCCCTTTATATATAAATATATTTTTCTTTAATATTTCATTAAATATGTCATTAGATTCCCGATTTTGATCCTTTACAGCTGAAATCTAAGTAGTTTTTTTTATTTCTTATTGATTTCTTTTGAAATTTCAATGGCAGCTCTTTTATGTATAGATATGTTGAAGATTATTGATAGCAAATTTTATTTTATTTTTTTAATTATGAACTTGTAATTTACAATGTTAGATATTATATTGATGGTTAATGCTTAATTATTTTATTTTATTAACTTGTTAGATATTAACTTGTTTTAATAAAATTTATTTTATTTTTTTAATTATGAACTTGTAATTTACAATGTTAGATATTATATTGATAGTTGCCAAATTTTAAACTTAATTGGTTATTGAAATTAGAAAATTTTAATAACAAATTATTTTATTTTTTATGAGTCATTTAAAAAAAATTAAAATTTAATATTTTCTTAAGTATTACAAGCTAATTGAAACTGAACACAAGTCACATAAGAACAATGAATCAAACATAAACATACTATTCATGAATAAGTTAAAGGATGTGTCATATTCTTAACAAACAAGTTTTTGAAGTAGCCAAACATGAAAAATTAATGAACTCGGGTCAAATTAACTAGGCTCATTACAACCCTATAGGCCATTGAATTCATTTTTTTATTGGTTAATGTTTAGGGTTATAAATAAATTAAATTAAGTTAAGTAGAATATTGATTAAATTCATTCATTCATTTATTTTCAAGCATAGTATAAATATTTATTGAATTTTAAATCTTTTTCAAACTTATTTATAATTTACCTTTTCAAATTCAAGTCAAAAGTATTATTATTTTTATAAAAATCCACAAAGGGCTTACGCGTTAATATGGAAAGAAGATACAAAGTCCTTAAAAAGGGATCGAAAACTCATTAAATGCTCAAAGAGCTATTGCCAAAAGAGTTTAAGATCCCTTCTAGTTACATAAAAAGGATAAAGTAAAAAAAAAAAGACCTAAGAACATACCAACAAAAAAGAATGAAGCTTGGAAATAGATGAATGTGATCGAGTTGCAGAAGGAGAACAACTGAATGAACAAGCACAAGTGACAGTGACTGAGAATAGCAACCAAACTAAAAGACTCAAAAGAGAGCTCCAAGGGCCCATCCAAGAACAAAAGAACCGAAGTGCTAGTAACAACCAGCTGAAACAATCAATATAGCATATACTAAAACACCCACTAGCTCTTGAACCCGCTGACCGATCCAGAACCCAAACAAACATCAACAAAGAGAGTGACGCAGCACCGAAAAGGCCAACCCAAAGACCATACCCCCACTCCATCAAAAACTAGAATGCACAAAGCATAAAGAGGAATCTAAGAACATAATGAAGATCAAAAGAAAGCTTAAAGTTTAGCACCATTTTTTTTATAAGTTTTAGATTTCTTTTTTTTCCCCATGAAACATTATAAAAATCAGCATTGTCAAATTTCACAATATCCAAATTAACATCCTCTTGTGAATCATGACAATTACCAACAATAACTTCCCCAACAATATAGTTAATATAAAATTATTTTTATTTTTTATAACAAAAATATAAATTTGATAAATACAAATTTAATTAACAAATACCAAAAATATATATTTATTGAAATAAGAAATAGAATATGATTCTTTACAACAAGACAAACTAATTTCCAAATAGACAAAAATCACTGAACGACCTCCAAATCTCAAGTTTCATTTTCCCTCAAATTCTTTTTTCATTTTCTTTGTCAGCCGTATGAAGAATATAAAAAGAATTTAAAGTTTTAAGTTAATTGAAACAAATTTTTAATAATAAATTAATTATTTAATAATAATTTAATTAATTTAAATATAAAATTTATACAAATACTTTGTGTTTAAAAAATTATTAAAAAATATCCGTGAAATAGCTCATTTTATTTAAATTTTTTTGGTTAAATCAGTTTGCAAATTGAACATCTGATAGCTCGAAATCCACACTTATTGACTGGTATTAATTTCTTAAGGATTTGCACCAATGCCCAAAAGCTATAAAAAACCATTGTGATTAAAAAATCACAATATCTATGTTATAGTGAAGTCGATTTATGATTTAGACTTATATTGATTCATAAAAAAATTTATTTGACTAAATTATTATGGGGAAGAAGGCTTGATTTTGTTGTTGTAATGTGTTTGTTCTCCATTATTTATGACCAAACCATAGGAAAGTGGTGATTGATCCAAGGCATCCAATTATTGTGATGGGATGCTCAGGATATGGGAGATACCCGAGAATAGTTGGAAGAATTTATTACAAGTGTTGTTCAAGAGAAGACGGTATGCCAAGGGCCTAGTGTTAGAAGAATGTAATAAATAAATAAATAGCTTGTATCTCGAATAGGAGTTTGACACGTGTACTAGCCGTTATCTCCTTCTCTCTACTTATATTTCCTTGCCTCTGTAATCAAGAGAAGTGTTACTGAATAAACAATTGACATTTCCTTCTTCCTGTTCGTCTCACCGAGCTTCTTGAACCCTCATTTGGGTTTCTTCACCTAGGACAAGCCAACCCTATAACTAGCTGATATGCTACCTGCACCAAGGGATCCAAAAACCTGCAAGAAAAACAATGAAACAAGGCAATACGAAGAATGAACAGAAATTCCTCTGTAAAAAGCTTTGATTTATTTTCTTCTGCCTAATTCTTTTCCCTCTTTTTCTATATGTATGGAGCAGTTATTACGTCCTCCGACCGGATGCAGAGAACATTCGGTCGTAGGCAAAAAAACGCCTGTACCGAGGTGTACCGAGTTTTTTCAAAAAACTCGGTACACCTCGGTACAGGCATTTTTTTGCGTATAACCGGATGTTTCTTGCATCCCGTCAAACGAACCAAATAAAAGCGCATATGTATGAGGCTTTCTCCTCATTAATAAATAACTACCAGCAACCAAAAAGTGAGAATAATTCCCAGGTACTAAAAGTAATAAAAGACAAAAGCGGTTAGTAGATAGTGGAGCTCAAATATAAGAGGGTTGTGTACTAATATGCAGGTGGCTGTAGGTTCGTGCGCTGCATCACTAGCTCTTGGGGTTCACATTAAGGCTCGCTTGTGGTGGAGGATCTAGGCCATGAAAACACAAGGGAAGGCTAAAGTAATATTCTTAGATGTGTTTTGATATATTTGGTGAAATTTCAAGTAGTTTGGAGGCCTAAGGGTAGAGGAAAACTAATGCTTGGTCACGGAGATCTAGTTTGGAAAGATTTGACTAATTTTGAAAATTTGTATTAGGGATTATAGAGGAAAAATAAAAAATGACCGAAAATTGTGATTATATTCTTTATATATTATTAGAGTATATTTTTAGATACTTTTGTTAAGTGATTTTAACCATACCTTAACTCACCAAAAAATTATATCTCTAATGACATTTCCATTGTATGCATATGCATCCCCCCACCTCGGCACAAATACATACCAAGAGAAGTAAGGACCACGCGACGTTGCCATCCACTTTCTTCTCTCGCTCTCTCTTCTCTGTTGAGTTGTTCTGATCTTCCTTGACCGGAGCCATGGCAGAATGGTTTGGTGCTCCAATCATGGAGAAGCTCATCAACACTGGCTTTCAGTACCTGGGAGATCAAGTCAGATGGCAGACAGGCATGAAGGAGGAGCTCAAAAGGCTGCGAGAGAACCATCCCAAGATCCAAGCTATCGTCCACTTTGCTTCCAGCCAAGAACAGATCAGAGACCAAAATACGGCTCTGAACGAATGGCTATGGCAGCTACGAGATGCAGTTGATGAGGCAGATGATGTGTTGGATGAGCTGGAGTACATGAAGCTCAAAAACCAGCTGACCAAAAATAAGAAGCAGAGAAAAGTGCGTTCCATCATGAAAGCCATAAATAAACGACTTGTCCAAATTGCCAAACGTACTCTCAAAATCGATCCCAACTTGAAGAGTTTAGAGAAGGTTGTGCAGAAACTTGATAAAGTTTCTGCTGGTGTTGCTACTTTCCTTCATCTTGTAAAAGACGCAAAGCAGGAGCATCAGGAACGGCAGCTTGAGCTGTACAGAGCACGTGAAACTGGATCCTTGCCTAAAAATGTTCTCATCGGTCGAGGCAAGGATAAGGACTTTGTTATGAAGTGGCTAAGAAATCCATCAGATGAATATCAAACAACTTTGTACAGCAATATTTCTCTGCTATCTATCGTGGGTCAAGGCGGTATGGGGAAGACAACTCTCTTGCAGCATGTATATAAAGATGAAATGACAAAGGAATTTGATCTTAAAATGTGGGTTTGTGTTTCCAACAACTTTGATGTGAATCGAGTCATTGCAAATATGTTGGAATCTCTTAAAAACGAGAGGATTTGTTTGGACACACTTGATGCACTTCAAAAGAGTCTCGAATCTGTGGTGAAGACCAAGAAATTCTTACTTGTTTTGGATGATATTTGGGAAGAGAATGAGGAGCGGGATAAAAGCAAATGGGAGAATGTGCTCGCCCCTCTAATTCAAGGAAAATTGGGAAGTAAGATTTTGGTAACAACTCGGATGGACTCTGCTGCATTGATGGTTGCAAAGGTGATTAACAAGAAGAATGAAATGTTGAGATTAGAGGGCCTAAAGGATGATGAGTGTTTGCTCCTCCTCCTTAGATATGCATTTGTCAATGTAGAGAGACTTAATGATTATCACAATTTAAGGTCCATTGCTGAAAAGATGGTTAAAAAACTTTCGGGATCTCCATTGGCCGCAAGGGTCATTGGTGGTGTTCTCAATTCTCATTTGGATGAAAGCCATTGGATAAGAGTTTTAAACTATGATATTGGAAGTCAAAATGACATCTCATCTGTCTTAAAATTGAGTTATATATTCCTCCCAAGAGTTCTGCAAAATTGTCTTTCATTCTCTGCCATATTCCCACAAGATTATGAGTATGATAAAGATGATCTAATTCGTATGTGGATTGCATTGGGTTTCATTCAATTGCCTAATATTCCAGGAGAGACCCTAAAGGATGTTGGAGAGAGGTACTTCGATTTTTTGGTAAAAAAATCTTTATTTGATAAATTTCAGAGTAAACATGGAATATACTACAAGTTGCATGATTTACTACATATGTTGGTACGATCTGTTTCTACACAAGAATGCTTCAGTGTTATAGGTGATGAAGAGTTGCTTTTAGGAATTCCTAAGACAATTCGACACTTGTTTGTTTATACTAAAAATTTTGAAGTGCTCAGAAAGATGAAAAGTTTCAGAAATTTGCGTTCACTTTTCTTGCTCTACAATCATTATGAAGATTTTGCTGATGGTGTACTTATTGAAATTTTCGAAACATTGAGAAGCATTCGTTTATTGTACATATGTGCACCGTGCCTGAAACATATACCAGAAGTCGAACATTTGACACATCTTAGATACTTGAATATTGTTGATACCAGAGTCACTCGGTTACCAAGATCTCTAAGTAATCTCTATCACTTACAGTTCCTGATTTGTGATGAAAATTTTTCAAATTTGAGAGAAGATGATTTCTTACCAAGGGATTTAAATAACCTTCTTAATTTGTATTATATGAAACTTCCCTTTCCTGGAATGTATGACATTGGGAAGCTAAACTCTCTTCAAGAGCTTGATGGGTTCTATGTTCAGAATAAGGCTGGTTATAAGCTTGAGGAGCTGGAGCACATGAATGAACTTTGTGTATTAACAATCAATTTTCTTGAAAATGTGAAGGATTCTAGAGATGCTTGCAATGCCAAATTATGTGATAAGAGGAACCTCACAGATTTGTCGTTAGTATGGCGTAACATTAGACGTAGAGATCATTATCGCTCGAGTGATCTTATGAGCCATGGAGTTTCCAACTTGGATGAGAACGTGCTTGACAAGCTTGAACCACATAGTAGTCTAAAGAAACTAAAGATAAATTCTTTCATGGGTACCAGGTCTGCAATATGGATGAACAATGACAACTTGATCTCTAATCTAGAGTACATCCAATTGGAAGATTGCTTGGCGTGGCAAATTCTTCCTCATTTTGGGCACCTTCCCTTTCTCAAGTATCTGTACCTTCGTAATATGCCAAAAGTAAAGCGGTTTGATTATAAATTTCATGGGCATGATAAGGATTGTCTCTTTCCATCGCTGCAAGTGCTAGATATTAAGAATTTGAACGCATTGGAGGACTGGTTTGATACAAGAACAACAGTAAATGGTTGCTTATTTCCTTGCTTGACTGCAATGTGCCTACATGAATGTCCCAGTTTGCAGGAGTTGCCCTCTTTACCTCCTAAGCTCAAGGAATTAGAGATGGTTAACATTGGGTGGAATGCTTTTAACTTGCTACAAGACGCTAGCAACTATTGCAGTATTTTAATTCAAAATTTGCCCAATCTGATCTCTCTCAGAGGAATGCATGAACCGGAGACCATTAATAATTACCAGCTCATACTCAGTGAACTCATTATAAAGGATCCATTCGTGTTGCTAATGGTGCCGTTGACAAGGATCACCTCCATACAGAAGCTAGAAATTCAGAACAATTATACGTTGTTTTCATTTCCAATTGAGGTAGAGCAGTGGTTTCTTAAAGTTAGCTCATCCCTTTGTGAGCTGAACTTGAAACGGCTCAAATTTTTGCAGTCATTCCCATCCTTTTTGGACAGCCTCTCTTCTCTTAAGATTTTACGTGTGGAAAATGTACCTCAGCTCCAGCTGCTTCCCAACATTCCTTTCTCTCTGGAACGATTAGAGCTCGTAGAACTCGAATGCTTACAGTCTCTCCCTTCCTCCTTGGAAAGCCACTGTTCACTCAAGATTCTATGTGTGGAAAATGTTCCTCGGCTCCAACAACTGCCAAACATCCCTGCCTCTTTGGAACGTTTAGAACTTGCAGAACTCAGATCATTGCAATGCCTGCCATCTTCTTTGTCCTTCTCTTCCCTCAAACATCTTGAATTACGACACATTCCTCTCCAAAACCTGCCGGACCTCCCTGCCACTTTGTGTGAACTATGGTTACAAGGTCTTGAGTGCGTGAATTCCCTTCCCGCTTCTTTTCATAACCTTTCTTCTCTACAAAAGCTTACTATTAATTGGGCTCCTCAGCTCCAGGAATTACCTGAGCTCCCTCCTTTTTTGTGTTTCATGTATTTATCATCTCTTACTAATCTTGATTGTCTGCCTTCTTGCCTTTCTAGCCTTTCTTCTCTCCAAGAACTTACAATCAGTGACTCTCCTCAGCTCCGGGAATTACCAGACCTCCCTTCTTCCTTAAAATCTTTGTTAATTTTTAACTGTCATCCAGAGTTAATTGAACGCTATCAAGAGTTTGTGGGCTCTGATTGGCACAAGATTGCTCACATTCCTAATGTCTATATTTATACTCAGTTGGAGGATTAGCGGGTTGCCATGGGCGGCTGGCCGATCAGAGGTTGCATGTGAAGGCGAAGTGGACTGGGACCGCGAGGGGCAGCGGCAGACGCGGTTTGGCTCTGTGATCGGAGGCGGAGCAGTTGCACAGAGCGGAGAAGAAAGTAGGTGGAGCATTGTTGGTCAGTTCAAGAATCATTGATTGTTCACATGGATTGGAGTGGTGGTAGCCAGATCAAGAACCTCGGTGTAGATCACACAGGAGTGCGCAAGAAGGGAACACTGGACTCAGGATTGGACTGGTGGATCTTGCGAAGTCTCGGGTGTTAAATCAGGCAAATTATTATGTACCGTCATCAGACGAATAGGTTTGGACATCCAATAAAAACATGTCACATCACCTGCGCTTTTGACTGTGCTTTAACTGCGCTTTAACTATGCTTTACCTGCGCTTTTGATGCGCTTAATTTAAAATAATATTTTATTAATATCCGGACCTATCTTCACGTTCGGTGACCGGATGTAATAATTTGCCGTTAAACCAAGTCTCCACGCCAGCCTTTTTATTTCAAGAAGCTTTGTACTATTTGCTTACACATGTAGCTCTAGGATTTGCTCTCTGTAGTTTTCTAGTCTATTTATATCTATGTATTCTTTTCGTCTTATGTAATAAAGATACAATTTATTCTCTTCTCTCTTTCCCTGTTTCTTCTCTTCTTTCTTTCGTCTTCATCTGGTGTCCGTGTTCTCAGCAGGCTGTAGCGCGCATAAATATCCAGGGAAGACTAACGGGTCATAGGATGCTCGGTGCTGGAGCGTGGATGTGTCGCGCGGGAGCAAGCTATGCACAAGGCACATGTGTGCGGATCAAGCGCGCGTGATTTAGAATGCATGGGAGCGTGGGCTGGAGTCGTGGATCGAAATGCATAGTGGAAGCCGTTCGTGAGTAGGGTTGGGCTTGGTTCGGTGGATTTGCTCATGGAGTTAGTGTAAGGAGTCGGTCGGATTGCAACAAGCATGAGTTCTTGTAAATGGGTGTTTTTTTTATATTTGATTGTAAATATGAAACAAGGTGGTGGAGATTGTTAGATATTGATTTATGTTTTAGTTTGGATGTTCCTTTGGATCATTTTCGATAGTCTATAAATAAGGAATGATATTATAGAGCTAAAGTGTCCCTTATAGCCCTCCTGTAACTATTGAATAAAGGAAATTGGATTTCCTGTTATCTCTCTCACCTTCAAGATCTATCTTCGTCATGCAAAAATTTTCTAACAATTATCCTAAATGAAAATTTCAAACCTGTTAGGACGTGCTAGTTTACAAGTGCAGGAATTGAAAAAAAAAAAAAAACAAACAAAACAAAACCAAAGTTCTTTATGCTCGTCTTATCTGTTTGATATGGAATGTGAAGAATGCAATATCAATATTGTATTCTTTAATTTCAGTAGAGGGTAAAATCTAAAGCTGTGAGGTTTCAACCAGAGCTGTAGTTGGCAGAGTAAGCAAAACATCCTGCACAAGATGAATGATGAGCATGCAATTCTCGGGAACAAAAGACAGGAGGGGAAACATTGAATGCTTGTAACCACAATTTTTCATTTATGTTATGTACATACTTATTGTAATAACTATTAACTATGATTTTTATGAAGAACATTGTTAGTGTAATTCAAAAACATTTACTTAAATGAGTACTTGGAATTTAATCTCTGATATACTTATTTGGATATGTATGATTGATCATCTCTATTGTAGTTATATCTGTAAATATTCCTGCATTTCACAGAGAAACATATAAAACCGAAACCAGGAAGAAGAAGAGAATGACATGAACAATTTTCCATCTATTCCATTGTTGAAATAGTACAGGCTTTTTATATAAAAAGAGAAAGAAGCTAAATCATTAAAGGGTAGAGTTTGTTTGTAACCATTGGCTGTGATTAAAGAAATGTTTCGTGCAGATTAAAGCTGCAAAAGAAGTAACAAACAGGAAATGTGGAGCAGCTGCTGCAACACGTAATTAACTATAGGGCTTTTACACAACTCTCCTTGGCCTATTGGTTGAAAGCTTAGGCTTTCAACTAAGAGGTCCAAGGTTCGAGTCCATGTGTATGCGTTGTGTGTGTGAGTTTGCCTTAAATGACCTAAATGTCCCAAAAAAAAACTATAGGGCTTTAGAACTTTTTCAATTTCATAATTAAATTAAAATACAATTTTATTATGCAATTTAAGAAAGCAAGTATGCCGCAGGCACTGAAGGAATCAGGAATGGCAACTCCCATCTGCTGGAAAAATTATTATGTGCGGAGTGTGCATCATCTAGCGGTATCCAGCAGTATTGAGTGCCTGGTTGGGTCTAGTGCTTGTGCGGATGATTCTCCCCGTCCGCACTCCGCAACTAATAATCTCTCCATCTACTGCCATTCATTTATAATTTTATTATTTATTTACTTTTTTCTTTTTAAAAGTTGGGGCCAGTTGGTCTATTGAACATTTTAGAGTGCGTGTGGCAATTATTATTATTTTTTAAATAAAAAATAAGCATAAATGTATATGTTATAAATATTTTTTTATAAGATAAATTTTTAAGATGAAATCATTTAAATTTTATTTTCCTCAAAATAAATTGAAAATAAATAAATTAAAATGATATACAGTTCTTATCTAAGGCAACGTCTGGCTATTGAGCTAGACGTATCTAAGGCAACGGATTCAGTTCTTCTATATCTGAATAACTTGAGATTAGAAAGAACAAATTTGAGGGACGAGGAGATGCAAGGATGATCAGAGTTCGTCGTCTCAGTTTGTTCAGAGAGTTGGGAATTGAGCGAAGCGTTCATCGTGTCCCTGAAACGTTAAGCCTATCTGATACCATGTAGAAATTGTAGATGATCAAGAAAGACAAGAAGGAGAAAAGGCCAGAGCTATTGAGGGAAGATGGAAATTATATTCTATATCACTTATAATAAAGTTTACAGCATACTCAAGCACCGGTTACAAAAGAGGCCATACAAGAATGGTTACAAGAAAAGCCATACAAGAATTCAACTTATTTTATCCTTATACTCTAAAACTTGTTTGTTAGCTTGTTCACGAGCTTTAAGCTAATGTTCGTAAACATAAATAAATCGAATTAGAAGCTATTTAAGTTCATTTATTTAACTATCGAGTATTTATCAAAAGTGTCCAAGCTCGTTCATTTAACTTATCAAACGAATATAAACGTACTATTATCAGCTCGTTTTCTTTTTTAAAAATTTGTCATCAAAAGCAGAAAAATATTCCATAAAGCTTCTTTTCATTATTTTGATTTGCTTGCTCGATGTTACTTTGAAGGCTTCAGCTAGTATTTATTGTCAAATAAAAAGCAAATTATTGTGATGAAATCTAAACTCATCCTAAAGATTAATTAAGATTAGTATATGACATTTAAAGGATCTTCTTCAGAATATTTAAAAGCTATTTCTCTACCATTCTTCTTGTTGTATTTGAATATGTTATGAATAAAATTATTGTTAGAGCAGAAGAACTCATTATCAAGAACTATAATGTTCTTGGCAATATGTAATTCTTTGTTTTATTGTCCTCTTTTTCGAAATTAAATTTATAATCGTCATTCTCTCATTTTTGAAGTCGAGTCAGAGCTAATAAAATCAAGCCAAGCCTACTCAAATTGAGGATGCATAAGATTTCATTTGTATTAGATTAATTTAAATTAATCTCGTTCAGCTCCAATTGAATTAGCTCACATCAAATTAAATTGAATTTCATTAAAATGAATTATATTGGTCTAATTTAATCACATAAGACTAATTTCAACTCAATTGATTCCGACTAAATCAAATTTATTTCAAATTAATTAAGTCAATTTGGTCCAATTTTAACTTTCCCATAAATATCCAAAGCAGTCATTTGTGAGTTGCACATTTATTATAAGATGATTTTTTAATAATTTTTTTTACAATTTTATTATATTATATAAAAAAAAATTCATTTAAAATGATATTCTAATAAAAAAATCAAACTTCTCATTTATTTTAAAATACATTCAATTTTCTTATTTTATGACGAAGATTTCAGTCGGCTTTAGGACTATAGCAGACTATCTAATCTCATCTCTTCCAATCTCTTCTCCGTTAACTTTACTTGACTTAACGTAGACTTTCAGTCGTAGCTTCTTTCTCTCTCTCTATCTCTGCCTCTCAATTATTAGAGACTATCTAATCTTCATCTCTTCCAATCAATTTCCATTTCTCTTACTGTTCAGTTGTTCTGCTCTCTCTACCTCGATCAGCGGTGCCATGGCGGAATGGTTTGTTGGTCCAATCATGGAGAAGATCATCAACGCTTGCTCTGATTACCTGGAAGAGCAAGTCGGATGGCAGACGGGCATGAAGAAGGAGCTGGAAAGCCTGCGAGAAAACCACCCCAAGATCCAAGCTGTCGTCTTTGCTGCGAACCAAGCACAAATCGGCGATCAGAACCCAGCTCTCAGCAAATGGATATGGCAGCTGCGAGATGCTATTGATGAGGCAGATGATGTGCTCGATGAGTTGGAGTACATGAAGCATCAAGAACAGCTGAACAAAAACAGGGAAGAAACAAAGGTGCGTTCCGCCACCGCGTGCTTCCTATTTAATTGATTATGCTCGCGAATATATTTATTTGATAATCTATTTCTAACTAATATGATCAGAAAAGAAAGTTCATGAACTTCCTATTTGAAAGTCCTCGTAAAATTCTCAAAATTGGCGAACGGCTTCTCAAAAGGGATCCCAACCTGAAGCGACTGGAGGAGGCTGTGCAGAAACTTGATAAAGTTTCGGCTGATGTTACTACTTTCCTTCATCTTTTAGACAGCACGAAGCAGGAACAGAAGGAGCAGGAGGTTGATTTCTTCAAAACACGTGAAAGAGGATCTTTGCCTACAAATGATCTCATCGGTAGAGGCAAGGATAAGGAATTTGTTATGCAGTGGTTGAGGATGCCATCGAATGAGGAACATCAAGCTCTTGTTAATGGAACTAATTTGTACAGAAACATTTCTCTGCTATCTATAGTGGGCCATGGTGGTATGGGGAAGACAACTTTCTTGCAACATTTTTATAAAGATGATGAAATTACAAATGAATTTGATCTTAAAATGTGGGTTTGTGTTTCCAACAACTTTGATGTGAAAAAAGTAATTGCAGATATGTTGGAATCTCTTAAGAAGCAGAGGCCTCGTTTGGAGACACTTGAGGCACTTCAAGATAGTCTCAAGAATGAGTTGATGTTCAAAAGGTTCTTACTTGTGCTGGATGATATTTGGGAGGAGGAGGAGAACCGCGATATCAGCAAATGGGAGGATGTGCTTGCTCCTCTAGCTTATGGGAAATTCGGTAGCAAGATTTTGGTGACAACACGAATGGACTCAGTTGCAATGAAGATGGCAAAGATCATTAAAAAAAAAGAGAAAATATTTAGATTAGAGGGCTTGAAGGAGGATGAGTGTTTGCAGCTCCTCAACTCTCATGCATTTGCTGGTGTAGAGAACCCCCCTGATGATCATCAAAAATTAAGAGCCATTGCTGGAGAGATTGTTAAAAAGCTTTTAGGATCTCCATTGGCAGCTAAAGTCATTGGTGGCGTTCTGAATGGCAACTTGGATGAAAGGCATTGGACAAATGTTTTAAGTAGTGGTTTTCTAAGTCCAAAATTGGGTCAGAATGACATCTTTCTTATTTTAAGATTGAGCTATATGTTCCTCCCTAAACATCTACAAAATTGTTTGACATTTTGTTCTATATTTCAACAAGATTATATATTTCGTAAAGATGATTTAGTCAAAAGGTGGATTGCATTGGGTTTCATTCAGCAACCTCGTGATCAAGAATGGACCATGGAGGATATTGGAAGAAGGTATTTTGATGACTTGGTTAAAAAATCTTTCTTTGATGATTTTGGAGGATACTACAAGATGCATGATTTAATACATGAATTGGCACAATCAGTTTCCATCCATGAATGTTTAAGAGTTGAGGATGGAACAAAGTTGTTTTCTATAATTCCTAAGACTCTTCGACACTTGTCTGTTCAAACTACAAATCCAGACATCATAAAAAAGATTGGGCAATTTAAATATTTGCATTCTCTTTTCTTGTTCGATGAAGTTTCTAATCAGGATATCAGCGCACTTATTGAAATGTTCAAAACATGGAAAAGCCTACGTTTATTATACATGCATGCTTCAGCAGGCTTGAAAATGATACCAGAGGAGATTGGAAATTTGATACATCTTCGATACTTAAAGATTGATAATTGTAATTTGACCATGCTGCCAAGATCTCTAAGTAATCTCTATCACTTGCAATACATAATATATGATGAGCCAAGGAGGCTAAACCAATTTGAAGGTGACCAATTTGAAGGTGATGATTTTTTACCAATTGACATTAATAGCCTTTCTAACTTGCATTACGTGAAATTGCCCGGGAATTATATTTCATCGATATGTGGGATTGGGAAGCTAAAGTCTCTTCGAAAACTGAATATGTTTGATCTTAGAGATGTGAGTGGTTATAGAATTGGGGAGTTGGAGAATATGAATGAACTTTGCAAATTAGGAATAAATTGCCTTGAAAATATTAAGGATGCCGAGGAGGCTTCTAGTGCCAAATTATGTGCCAAGAGGAGGCTCGCAGATTTAACCTTATGTTGGAGTAACACTGATTCGAGGAACATCGATTTCAATGAGAACGTGCTCGACAATCTTCAACCACCAAAATGTCTAAGGAATCTGAGCATAAAGAGATACATGGGTGCAAGGTCTCCAATATGGATGAACAATGTCAATCCAACCTTCAATATAGAGAAAATCGAATTGACAGATTGCTGTGAGTGGGAAACTCTTCCTCCTTTCGGGCAACTTCCCTTCCTCAAGTCACTGACACTTTCTGACATGCCGAAAGTAAAATGGCTCGAAAGTAAATTTAATGGGAATGATAAATACCATGCCTTTCCATTGCTAGAGGTGTTACATATTTTCAGATTAGAAGCATTAGAGGATTGGTTTGAGGCAGGAGTAGCTGCTGAAGATGGATGTTTGTTTCCTTGCTTAAAATATGTGGATCTAGATGACTGCCCGAAGTTGAAAGAGTTGCTCTCTTTGCCTCCTAAGCTCAAGAGATTGTCCATAAGTAATATTGGGTGGAAGACTTTGAATTTTTGTGGCAATTCAAATCCTATTCCCCTTGAAACATTAGAGGTCTTTCGTTGTCGAAACATTACATCTCTTCCTCTGGCTGATGAAATAGCAAGACTTGCAGCACTAAGATCGTTGACAATTATAAATTGCCCCAATCTGATCTCTCTCGGAGAAATGCAAACCACTAATAATTGCCATCTCAATGCTACAGCAATCTCTGGATAAGTGAGTCCATCGTGTTGCTAATGGAGCCATTGAGAGTTCGCCTCCTACAAGCTGATTATTTCGCATAATGATGAGTTTCCATTTCCAATGAGGCGGAGCAGTGTTTCTGAAAGTAGTTCACCTCTGAGCTGCAATTTTCAATATCTCAAATCCTCAGTCTCGCCTTCTCCTTGAAAGCTTATTTCACTTCAGCTCTACATTTTTAATAGAGTATCTATGCTTCGGGAATTACCGAACCTTCCTCCCTCGTTGAAACGTCTAGAAATTTGTCGGGAGGTCATCAGGTATATAGCGCTATCAGAGGAGGAGGCTCCGATCGCACAAGATTGCTCACATTCCTCGAATCTATATTCTACCGATATAGGTTCACTATTTAATGAAAATTCAAAATACAAAATGCAAAACTCTTTCTCTTATCTATTGTTTGATATATATATGGAAACATGTGAAAGAAATGTATGCCATCTAACCAATTTGTATCACTGAATGGATATACTCATTTTAATTATGTAACACTTTGATGGTCCATTTATATATAATAAAATAAATTTTTCTTTAATTTTCATTAATAGGTCGCTAATTTTCAACGATTTTGATCATCTTACAACTAAGATACTATAGTTTTTTTTTTTAATTTCTTATTGATTTCTGAAAGCCAGAATTCAAAAATTTTGATCATTTACAACTAAATTCTATGTCCCTTTATATATTCTTATTGATTTTTGAAATGAAACAATTAATAATTATGCTTTGTTTTATTTTATGTTTTGAATATGCTCAGAACAAATAAATTTGAATGAACAATCATATATAATCCATGAATTTCATTTTCTTTAGTAATCTCATTTATAATGATACGGCATCAACAAAAATTAGCTTGATCTGGCACGATTCTCGAGGCAAAAGCTAGTTGGAACTACAAAAATTAATTTTCGGGGCGCAACCCAACTCTGATTTCTAGCGAGCTTAACAGTCAAACTGAGCGTCTCGGAAATACGAACCAAAACGACACCGAAGATCAACCCAATCCGAGCCCAAATGAGTCCGAATCAAGGGCTCCAGAGCGCTGTTGGAAGGTTCAGTCTGCAATTTGAGTTACCAAACGGTCTCCGATTTTGACGAGCTCTATACTCGAATCGAACATGCTCGACGAGACGAATCCAATGAGCCCAAGATCGCAGAAATTCTGACATCATTAAGGCTTCAAATGCCCAACGAACGGTTGCATGATCAAAGGATTCGATATCGGCCGTTCCATTGGACCACTCTCTATTCGCCCTGATCTCATGCCTATTTACGGGCCATGCCACTCCAAGAAAATCTATAATAGAGCCCTCATTTTCTCATAAAGGGGGCCGAAACAAGAGAGAGAAGAAGAGAAGAGAAGGAAGGAGTTTCCTCGACAGCCAGCACCGCCGGACCACCGCAGAACCTCGCCGGACCACCGCGATCAGGAATCTCGTCGGACCACCACAAAACCTCGCCGGACCACCGCCTAAGACCCGACGTTCATCCCGACGTCCTGTCCAAGACAGCCTCCTCACCAAAGACCCGACGTCTGTTCAAGGCCTGACACTCAGTCCCTACTTCCTGCCAAAGACCCGACGTCTTGTTCAAGGCCCGACGTTAAGTCTCCGACCGTGCTGCTGAAAGACCCTGTCCGTTTAAGACCTGAACGTCTCTGCCTTAAGTAGCCCGATCGGTCGGCTAGTCTCAAGACTAGACCATTGTGCGAGCGATCTCGATCTCCAAGTGACACTGGGTTGTTTTTGTTTATTATTTTTTAGTTCTAACACCTTAGTACTCCTTATCTCTCTCCGTGCCTTACTGTCTCTTGTCAGGCCTCCATTCACTATCTTAGGTCCGTCCGACTCCATCAGCCTAGACAACGTTCTTCAAGACCCACATTCCCTATTGCTCGGTCCTTTCCATGGCCTTCGTCGCCATTTTGGTTCCTTCCGACCGTGCATCAACAGACAACGGTCCTTTCTGACCCCGGTCTTCCTGTCCTGACCACGGGTCTCTCTGCCGGAGCTACGGTCCTTTCGCCAACAAAAACAAACCGTATATGTAACTCCTACCGATTAAGGTGGGCAACTTACTATATGTGGAGACATGTTGCTGTATCATCAATCCAAGCCTTCTCCACTAAGGAAGTGGCCATCAATTTGTAATTCGACTACAAATATACTAGTGGATGTTATTCAAAACTGGCCGGCCCCGTGGTTTTCCCCTTTCAGGGGGTTTCCACGTAAAAAACTCTGGTGATCTCTATGAAATGGCTACAGTTCCTCTTCTCACTTTATCTGCTTGTGTGCTGGATCTTCGTACAATGCTAAGACGTTAAACTAAATATTTCTCTACCGCCGCGAATATTCCAGGACGCAACAATAATATGCCACTAAGTCATCATTAAAGTTTTTACACTTTCATCATCTTTCACATTCATTTTCTTTATTGATTTATTCAGATAATAGAAAATTATTGATTTATTCAGATAATTTTCTAAAACAATATATATATATATATATATATATATATAAACTTTAATGATCATTTTAGAATGCTTGTGTTTATTATTATTTCATTGTTTTAATAAATAAAAATTATTATTATATATTTGTATATCCTGTAAATATATAATAGTCTATAATTCAATAGACTTTTATTATTAGTATTAAATAATATTTAATTTTTATTTGATTTCTTATTATTATTTTCTTATATATTTATTTTCCATTTAATAAAAAAAAGGAAAGTAATTGTAGAGTATAAAAAATAGTAAAGTAATAGAGGAGAAAAAAAAAACTAAAATCTTAATAGCTCATATGAGTGACGGAGTTATCTGAAATATTTAATTGTAATTTTTTATTTAAAAATTAAATATTTTAATTTTAAATTAATTTATTAAAATATAAATATTACTTAATATTTATTATTAATTTATTTGATTATTTAAACAATTCAAAAATTAAATCAAGTGTTTTAAGAAAATCGGGATTGGTTCACCGGTTGAACCAGCGGTGTGGACCTCCGAAAGGACACCGCTCAGTGGGAGAACATAGTGCAGAAGGGCACGTCTGCACTATCCCGAGAGACGAGACGACCGCAGGTCTCCGCTCTCTTCGCAAGCGGGCCAATGGAAGGATAGATTAGATCACACATATGATTAACCATTGAGGATAGCGGCTTTTGCCAGCGCACCCTGATGGATAATAATATGCACAACCCGAGTTTCCCCCACCCGATACATCAGCTCGAGTTGATTTTATTTGATATATATTATAAAAATGAAAATAAAAAAAATTAACATTTATAATTTAATTTAATTTAATTTATAGTATGATATCTTTTAAAAATTAACCTTTATAATTTTAGTTTTCTTTTTTAAATTCGTTTTTAGTTTCTTTTTTTTTTTTCCTTTTATTAAATTAACCATTTCAAATTTAGATGTATTATAAGACTTAATATTCTTAGATAAAATATCAAACACACTTTACATAACATTGAAACTTTTAATAAAATAACTTCTTAAATGCTTAGGCTAGTCTATTTGATTATATATTTCCGGCAAGATTGTAAAGCCAAAACCAAGCTTTCAAGCTTTCTTAGTGGTACGTGAAGCCATTGTCTTTTACTCTAGGATCAAAACTTATGTGCTTAGTTTAGATGTTATAAATCTTTAGCAGTGTCAATATTTGATGTGACCTGAAAATCTAAAATGAAAATTTCGGATTCCGATCAACCCGACCTCGGGTTAGAGATTTCAACCAGTTTGTAAAATCAGGTGGGTCGGATTCAGATTGATCCGAAAACTTGATAACGGTATCACTGTTTATCATTAAACCGGTCAACTTAAACTTAACTATATTTCTAAAATGTAATAGATAGACATATAGCAATGTTTTTGAGCAATTTGTTAAGTAAATATGCACCTAGAAAATTTTTTTCATTCTCCATCTTTGATTTCACCTTCAAATCAAATAATAAATGAAATTACTCTTTATCTATATAACTTCTCAACCAAAGAAATGGAGTAAAATATATTTCAGTTCAATTCCTTCTAACATGTCTATTGCCCAACAGTGGCTATCAAAAAGAGCAATGAAAAGGAGCACAAAAGCATTACATCCCTGTGTTCCAACTCAACTAGGCTTCATGTTCACATAAGATCAACATCAAAATGCTCTCACAAAAGTTAAAAAAATGTCATAATCTTCACAATTTGATTGCATAATAGCACCAGAAAAAGCAATTCAAGAGTTATCTAAATATATGTTATCAAGCTAGCACCACGATACAATTCAGCTCCATTGATGACTGACAAACAACACTTTCACTAGAAATATAGCAACTGAAAGCACTACAGTATATGCATGTGGATGTATTGAGCAAATTTGGATAGTTTGTAAAATAATTAAAAACAACAAAATAATAGAATTATGCAAGACAATGCAAAGAAATGTGTTGATTTAGCAGGCTATGATCAATTAATTACCATATTTGCAATATCAATATTCAAAGGATGGTAATTTATTCACAGACAAAATAAAAGCATCCAATACACAACCTTTGGGTACTAAACTGGACAAAACCAACAGATATGTACAAAATGGTCAAATAAGCCATGAAGGAGACACAAACCATGTTGAACAAATAGGGTTGCTTCCAATCCAAAACACTAAAAAGCTACCAGTTCTCTTTTACAATTTTTGGCTTCTCAAGTATGAACTTACCTTCCTTGTACTTTTGTGACTCTTCATAAGCTTTTTCATACTTCCAACCTAAAACCTCACGGCAGTCCGAGCAATAAATATCGGCAACTGTATGCAATCCAGTCATGAGCTGACGGTCTTCCTTCGGACCGACGACGATGTTCATGGTATGAGAAAACAGAAAAGCACGGCCATTTCTCCCCTAAGGCAAGTTTAGAAAAGCAAGAAGATAAAGAAAAATTACTCAATTGAAAAAACAAATAAATTTTTTCACATGAAACAAATGGTAGGTTTCTAACCATTCTAATTCTATAACATATTTTCTACTAGCTTCTTAAAAAAAATCTATGAGAGCAGAAATTAAGAACAAGAAAAAAAATTGGGTCAAACTATCTTGATGAATTTTTTATCAAGATGAGCTTCAAATTCATTGGACACAATGAAGAAAAATAATTTATGTAGCCGACCCCACATAGTGGGATAAAGGCTTGATGTTGTTGTTGTTGTTGTTGTTGTTGTATGAGCTTCAAATTCATTGAATTTGCTAAGAGAAGAGAGCAATGTAAGTATTGATTGATTGCTAATGTATTGCACTTATCTTAGAACAAATCAAAAAATTTTAAAACCCAACGAAACCCATCCCAACTAATTTTTTGTTAGGATTTCCTGATATAAAACATTTCCAAATACACAAAGTAAAAGTAATAATAACTTGCCCTAAATTGGCATGCTAACTTTGCAACAGATGGCAATGAGTTCCTAATTCAAATTAGTATCAAAAACTAAAACACCAATTGACCAAAGAACATAGCAGCACAAGTAGCAACAGATTTTATATGTTAGGAATTAGGATATAAGCAAGATTTAGGCTGAACACTATCAAACAGAATTTGGCCACTTAAATGCCACTAATTTAACAAATCCAGATTTAATCATATTATTGCAGATTTAATGGATCTAACATTTAAGAATATCTCTTTCACACAAATCTTAAATACTAAAAGAAACAGCCAAACAAGTTATCAATATTTAACTACATTTAACAGTGTTCAAGCTTTAATCCTCTCAAGATTTGCTAAATCTGAATTTACAGAATTTACTAAATCAGACTTCTAGCAAAACAACCCCTTGATTTCGATTCACTTAGCAGCAAGTTCTGTAATTTTGGATTATTTTAGAAACTAAAACACCCAATAGCTTTCTGAACATAATCAAGAAACTCACCTGAAAATCTTTGGAAATGATATCATCATGAAGGCAAACATGATTTCCACAATTGCAGCAGCTATACAGTCGGGGACCAACCAATTCAGCCATCAGCACTCAGCTTTCCCCTTTCCTGTCACAGTTTTTTTCAAAAGCAAAAATCTTTCGAAGCCACTGTAACAATCTAGCAGAAAAATGAATCCATAAACAAAACCCTAAAACATAAGGGCAGAACTCGCAACTTACACAAGTATGGAAGAATAATCAACTAACTGCGGAAAAAAATGTGAAAAATATGCTTCCTTTTGTCTTCCAATTTATACTACATCCACTTTCCTAATGTAAAAGGATCCGACGGATTGTTATCTACTCGAAAAGTATGAAACGAGAGCGAAATGAAAAGTAAAATAACAGAGAAGAAGAAGAAGAGGAAGAGACGACGACTATGGCGGAAGAAATTTCCAAGAAATAGTAAAGTTAAATAAGAAGGCAATCCGCATTGGGGAATCAAGGAAGCGTAGAATAAAGGAGAAGAAAGATTGGGCTGAAAGTGATGGACTTTTGTATGGTAGCAGGGAAAACTGAAGCGCCCCTAGAAACCGTCTATTAATCTATTAAAGTCTTTAATTTAAAGTAAAACTACTTTATTAGTTTAGTACATTATTAACGATTTTTTTTTTTTTTTTTTGCAAATTTGGATGTTTATCTCTCTATACATTTAAACTTAGAGAGATCTATACATTATTTCATATAATGAGAAAATTTGCCTATAAATTTTATTTAGAGTAAAGTACCTCAAAATTTAAAGAGGCAATATGATCCTATTCAAATGACCGTCAAAAATAAAAAATTGATAGATTTGTCTTTTTTCGAGCACCTTCTTTCCTTAGGTGATTTTTCTTCTCGATTAATTATTATTAGACAAAGTTTAAGGCTTGGTTTGGTAATTTTAAAACTGTTATTTGAGGGAACGGAATTTTCTAACAAAGAAGTTAATATCATAAAGCTTTCGAAAACAATCAAAAAATACAATTATCTAAAAAAATCATTTCTATAGAAGTGACATATACAAAAAACAAAAACAAAAAAATCTGCCTTTTCAAAAGTCCATCATTTTCCCCAAAAAAAAACTGAAAAGGCGAAATTAAGCCGTCTCAAACGAGGCCTAAATGCAACATTTTCTTCCATATCTCTGACAAATTGACGATTTTTGTAGAAGGTTAGTGATATTTAATCAAAAGACATTCAATTCATTATTTGTATTTCAGAATCATAATTGGAAAATAGTCAAAGAGACTTCGATCACCTTCCAAGAGGAAATAATTACATACATACCACTTAATACTATTCTATTTACATATTTAACACCTAAAACTTTAATATTACATAAATACCACCCATAGTTCATTTTCATACAAAATATGAGTGGTAGATATGAAATATATGAGTGGTAAGAAAGAAATATAAGTGGTATATTTGATATTAAAATAATATAGGGTTGTATGGACGTAATATTAAAGTTTTAGGTGTTAGATATATAAATAGGATGTTATAAAGTGGTATGTATGTAAATTTCCCTATTGTAGAGGTAAACCGTCAATAAAATATAGTGACCACTGACCACCCTCCTCCATTAGCATCATAGAGGTTTTCTCTTCTAAGGATGAAGATAGGAATTTCATAAATAATCATAAATCATAGTTAATGATGACGCTCAAACGTCTAATTCAATTGTTATTAAAGGGTTGAAGGTTTTCTTAAAATTTGCTCAATTCGAGGAAGATCTAAAGAGATATGAATAAATATAAAGAGCTTTCTTTAATAAATTTGCTCATATGAGAATTTAAAAAAATTAAGAACATAAATTTCATTTTTGGGAGAAACTCAAGAAGGCTTAAGAATTATACCAAATGTTAAATGCTTGATAAAGAGGAGCATTCTAATGTTTTATTAGATTTCGTTTGAGACAATTTTTTATTGCTTTCTAAAATAATTTTCTAGCGCAAAAGTTTTTAGTTCAAGAAATATTGTACTAAAAAATTGGTTTAGAAAGTAGTAAAAAGTTATCTCAAACAAAGCCTTAATAGAGTGCTAGAAAGCCCGACAACTTCAATGCCAACAAAATAATAGTAAAACTTTGGCCAAATGCTATAAATCTCGAGCAATTCACAAGGTTAAATATGAATTGTTATACTTACGGAATAAATGGAGGATATACTTAATTGTTTTTTTGGTTTTAAAATATTAATTTTATCAATAAATATATGACTATCTTCTATATACTTATCATTGAAATTAAAATTATCATAGAGGTTCAAAAAATTTAATAAATTTATTTATTTATTTTTTTAAATAATAAGTGATTGATGCAATAACCCTAAATTAACAGAATATATATATATATATATATCTTACACTTTTTCTTTGTTGTGATACCCTTTTAATGAATTTATTTAAAGTTGATTTTTTTTTTACATTGAACTTAATTATTTTGAGCAATTTTTTTGAGAATATTTATGGGCCAAACTAGACACGCATTGGGATGGTCGCACTCTTTTTAGGCTTTGGATTGGAACTTTTTTGTGCTTATTTCATTTTAAAATGACAAATTTATTTCTTCTTTACGGTTTGGTTCGTCAAATTCCGTTCCCAATAACTCCGTTTTTTTATTTTCTACTGTTTTGAAAAAGCTTTTTATATAGTTAGGAAACTTCATTTTGGAACCAATGTTTCTTAAAATTATCTTTTACAAAAGTAAGAAAAAACTAAACAAAACTTTAAACAAGCCCATCTATGCTCTGGCCTTCTTGTTGTACGGCCCAGGCCCATGTTGTAGATGTTTGACTTGGGCTCACTTGGCCATAGCCGCGGAGGCACCCAAAATTCAAAATTTCTTCCTGTTTGTTTAAAACCCTAATTTTCCTGTTCTCATCGACCAGTGACAGAGTGAGAGAAAGAAAGGAGCAATTATTAGGTCCTTTCACTGGATGTAGAGAAAGGTTCGGTTTTAGTCAAAAATAGGTAAAAAGTGCAAATACCGAGTTTTTTGAAAAACTCGGTATTTTTTCAAAAAACTCGGTATTTGCACTTTTTTAGACAAAACTGAACATTCCTCTAGGTCCTTGCACCGGACCAAATAAAAACTCGAAAGAAAGAGAGTGAGATAAAAACCTTAATCGTCCATTTCTCTTCGGATTGTAGAAGCGAAATCAAAGCCAATGAAAAGATCGAGAGGTGGAGCGCCGCAGAGAGTGACGAGATCCCTCAAAGTCCCTGCCTCCGGCGACATCTCTCGGCCGTCTTCATCCCCGATGCAACCCCTCTTAGACTACTCCTCCTCCATTATCAGCGCCGGCAGCCGGCGTGACTCCGACGTATCGAGCCTTTGTAGTAGCCTCCCCTCCTCTGTCACCGGACGCCCCGTCTACTCTATGGCCAGCACCCCCTCCGAACGCGCCTCCTATCTCCGCGCCGTCAACTCCTACCTCGCCTCACTGTCTCCTCCCGTTCACCTGAAGCCCCCACTCCCCCCCGCACGTGACATCACGGATGCCATTCGTGGCCTATTCGCCCGCATCGACTTCGACAACTCCATCTCCGATCTCACCCGCGACCTTCCCCCTCTCCTCGTCGCCCTCCGTTGCCCAGTCAAACTCAGCAAATCTGCCCTCAAGGCCCCCTCCACCCCTCACGCTTGGCCATCCGTTCTTTCCGTCCTCCACTGGCTCGTGCAGCTCGCCCTCGTCGCCGATCACCTTGCCTCGTCCCCCACTTCTCCCCAAGTATCCGATTACGACATTAATCGCTACATCACCCGCGCCTATTCCCTCTTCCTTGCCGGCGACGATTGCACTATTGCTGAACTCGATGCCGAGTACCTCGACAGACTTAAGCGGCATGCTGCTTCCGCCGTTAAAGACGTTGAAGCCCTTGAGGTTGAAGTCGCGCAATACGAGGCCAAGCTGCGGGATCTCGCTGCTGCACCCTCTCGGCTCGAAGCGCTAGAGGCGGAACGTGCTGCACTTCTGGAGGACGTCAATAAGTTTCAGAATGTGGTGGACAAGTTTTCTGGGATGATTGAGGAGAAGAGGGAAAAGCTTGCAGAGAGGGAAAGGGAGCTGGAAACGAGGGAAATGGAGAAAAGGAGGCTGGATGAGGAGAATGAGGGATTGAGACAAAGGATACGCGGGCAGTCAGTGAGCACGAGAGATGTGGAGAGGATGACGAGGGAATTACAGGCTGTGGAGAGAGATATTGCGGAGGGGGAGAGTCGGAGGAATGAGATGGAGGAGAAAGCATGGATGCTTAACTCTGAATTGGAGAGGAAGTTCAGGGAAATCGAGACTTTGGCAGAGCAATGCAACCAGGCAATTAGGAAGTAAGTGTTTTATTATGTTTGCACCTTCTTGAACATAGTTGGATAGAAAGTTATATACCAAATACCTGTCACATGTTACGTCCAATGGAGCGTATAGAATTCTGCAATGATGAGTTCACTGAGGCATATTCTTATGTTTATTTCAGCCGACTGGGTTTGTAAGTTTACGGATTTTGCTAGCATGCATCTGTTTATTGTTTTCTTAGTTTGTTATCGGTGAAGTCTCTATTGTGATGAAAGGAAATAATAATAATTATAAGGAAATAAAGCTACTTCCAAACTATTTGTGTTGAAGTTTGAAACTGCTACCATTGATTAGTGAGTCTTAACACTTAGGCTTCATATGGGATGGCTTTTTTCCTGCTTCTTAGGCATTTTTCAACTGAACTCCAAATGCATGAATGACATCGCTCGCGAGCTCCAGCTGAACGGTAAAACTTCCGCTATTTGGTTGCGGGTGAACAGTACGACGCCAATATTGACGTGCCGCTGTTCACCTACACTATTTCTATCTCTACCGGATTTGTGGAATAAACACGTGAAAGAGGAGGAAGACTGTTACCGTGCAAAATGGAGTTCGACTGGAGATGAATCACGATATTTTTTAGTTTCTTTGCATTTTGGAGTGAAAAATGGGATTTTCGGTTGGAGATGCCCTTAAAGTAGCTTTTTAACACAAAAATTTGAATTTTTGTATTAGAAAGCTGCTTTAACAAGCAGTAAGAAAACCGTCGCAAACGAAGCCTTAGTTCACTTCCATATTTCTAATGCCTAACTTTTAAAAATAGAGATATGCATCTTGAATTTGCTTTTTTTTTTTTCAGATTAAAGATTGGAAATAATTTCCAATATGTTATCAATTCTAAGGCTTCTTCTGCGGCTGAGGTCATTGGAACTGATTACAAAACTATGCTGAAGCCAGCACTTAGCTCTCTGATGGAAGAAGCAAATAAATCGAAGGTTTCAAAAGTGGAGGAACTAATTAATCTTCAAAAACAATCGCTGGAGAATGACATGATGCTCGATGGAAAGAGGGCTTACTGCACAGCCATTCAAACTAAAATCAATGAGGTATGTTCTGTTATTTTTTGTTTCTTTCTGTTTGCAACACGGTTATGCAAGTTAAAGGCAGGAGATTCTTCTATTTATGTTCCATGATATCTCTTGATTCTAGCAGCTTCAGAGTTAGTTTTCAGCAAATTTTTAAAGAAAATTTATGACTTGACAAATATTTTAGGAGCAAACTCCTTTCATGTCAATATCTAGAAGTTTATTGGTTGGGGAATCTTAAAAGTAAATATATGAGAAATAAAATCATAGGTGATTATAAATGGTATTATTATGAATACCTTTTATGAATTTCATTCAATTATAATATAGTATCTTAATATTAATCACCATATGATAGATTAATAAAATTAGTAATTGTTTATTAAATAAAAAATATTCATAAATGTGTTTTTCTCATGAACTTCATAAACTATTATTGTAAGAAAGTTATTTTTGACTTTCATGCTTTGGACATTTCTTTCCTTCAACACCTTCCTTCTTGTTGAACTGATTGTTCTAAAATTGCTCTTGTTATTCAAGAAAACAAAAACGTGCTTTACGTTGTGTCAAATAGAGCCTTAAAAAGTTGATAGTAGTTTAACATTCCTCTAATCTCTTATAGAGTTTTCTAAAACTAAATATCACAATTATAGAGTAGGGGTTGTTTGGTCGCAAGATTTTTGTAGGAATCAGAAAATATTTAGTTTAAATCCCGTCAAATGATTTTTTGTAAAATCCGTAAATGACAGGTCTTTTATGGTTGCTTGCAAGCATCACAATTACAATCTACAAGCCGGCTATTGAGCATGATAATTCTTTTGTTGTTGCATGTATGAGGTACTTATGCTCTTTGTAATCAAATGGTGTTGTTTGCAAATTGTTCATGTTTAAAGACTTCCCACCACAAGTCCCTTGCTTGTTCATTAACTTTCATTTGAATGGTTTGAATTATCATTTATCATTTATCATTTGTATTTTCAATTTTTTATTGTTCATTTTCAATTTTTAGGGTTTAGTTCCCTCTCGTTCATTAATGTCATGTTCTCTGTGTTATGTTGCGATCAAGTCTCCCGTTAGTCAAAATTTCGATGGCATCCCGGCATCTCTCGTTTAGGGGAAATTTAAGGAGTATTAGCCTTCCCGTCATGCCAAGAAAAACATGCACGGTCGGTGTCAGATAAAATAAGTAGAACAAGAAAATATTGTAAGATAAATGACTTTTTTTTGTCCATTGCTCTTATTAAAGAGTTAATTATGTTAGTCATCAAGTTTATGTTGCTCTTTTGATTACACAAACTGCTTGCTATATATCCAATATGCATTGGTTTCGAATTCTGAACTTATTTTCTTAAGGCTTTGATATCATACCCTAAATGGCATATTCAATGGCTATCCATTGTGCACTTGTGTATTGATTTACATACAAGCACTACATATAAGGATAGGAGAACCTCTAGCACATAATATGCTAACTTAAATTTGATAATTTATGATGATTGAATTTACTATGGAATGAGTACAATATATATCTAACCAATCAAATCTTATAATGCACCCATTTCACAGCAAATTTGAAAGCTTTCGAACTCATGTTGACCCAATTTTTTTCCTATTAAGATGTGGGTTCGTTGGACTCTATGAAGCATTGATTCTTCATAATTGCTGCTTGTTCTACATCCAAACTTTCCATTTTTCATTCTTAGGGTTCCTTTGGGATAGCTTTCTTCCTGCTTCTCAAAGTGGCTTTCTAGTATGATAGAAGCCGCAGTTTCTATTTAAAAAAAGAAGAGATTCTCATTAGTTTGTTCTACAATTTCTAACTTTGCAATCAATTTTTACTTAATAGTTATCTTCATTTTTATAATATTATGACTATATGTAGTATTGAAACTCAAATTTGATGTATATTCAAGGTAGAAAATCAGGTTGATCTGCTGAAGAAGGAAATTGAAGATCATGCTTTGACATGCTCGTCTGAAATTGAAAAAATAAAAGAGGAGCTAACATCAAAAGAAGATCAAGTAAAAATAATGGAAAGGGATGTACAGGAGTTATTAATGGTAATATTTAGCTTCCTAATCTCTCTTTCTAAAAATTTCTGTAATTACTTGATCCATAAAGAGCTAAGATATCGATTATCTTTGCAGGAATCTGAAGAAAAGCTGAAAAAGACTTTCATTGAGAGTACTGAGGAGACAAAAATTTGTGCACATGAACTCTATACATTAATTGATAGTGTCTCGCATTATAAGGAATTTATGGGATCTACAATTGCTGGGATCAGAGAAGAGATCAGAGGAATAGCTGAACAAGTGAAGCAATCCTTTGACGCTTCTATCAAGTAGGTTTGTTTTAAACTCTGAATATTCACTTTTACTCTTTTTCTTTTTTGTGTAAATGTTCTATATTTTCTTTGTAATGTAGAGAAGGTTATTTTGCTTAGGGGATGTTTGGTTTGAAGTAAAATATATATAAAATATATTTTTTTTGCAGAGGTTTTGAAAATGTTAGTGTTTGATAGAATTTTTTTCTTGTATTGCACCTTTGAAATTATTTGAAATAATTTCGTAGTACTCACTATTTTAGCGTTTGATATCCTATAAATAGTACTATTCTCATTTTCTCGTGTTATTATCGTGTCACGTTTGACCATTTTTTCAAAAATCAATTTAAAATGGCAAAACTTCTATATGTCATATTGTCAATCTTGACATGTATGTCTCAATAAAACTTTGTGATGTAGATTGAAATGAAAACTTCGAGTATCGAATCCGAGATTTTGAGTTTCTAATGAACCATCCGTTCTATGGACAAATGTATCATAGATCACTTCAAATGTAATACTTACCAATTTTATTTAGATTTTATTTGGGATAATTTTTTTATTATTTTTAAAAATAATTTTCTAGTACAAATTATTTTTTAAAAAGAAAACGGTCATAAATGAAGCCTTATTTTGAACTCTCTTCATCTTTGCTCTATGGATGGTTTATTTTGATGTGGATAATCATTTAATGTGATAGGCATGCATCAATGCAAACTTTTTTTAGCTAGTTCTAACTAACAATATTTAAAATAAAAGATGGTGATTTCTTATCTTTATTGCATTGTCTATTGTCCTAATTGTATATAAAATCTCTAATATTATTGATGGATAATCCACAAGAGCTACTAATAATTTTCAGAACATCTTAATATTTTTTTAGTAGTAATAAAAATAAACTATAAGGCACGATTCTCATTATAAAGCATGATGAACACGAAGTTTAATTATATCATAATTAATTAATTTGAACTCATAATTTATTAATTTTTTAATATTTGTAGGTTGAAAATATATATAATATATAACATTAAGTAAAATTCATGTCTTTGTAATACCGATCATGATTGAACCGAATAAATATATACAGATAATGAAGATACTAAAATAAATTGAAAAATTAGTGTTTATGTGGTTTGATGAGATTCACCTATATTTATTATTCACATAGAGAGATCTTCTTACTATATCATAATTTATTTATTTGAACTCATAATTTATTAATTTTTTAATATTTGTAGATTGAAAATATATATAATATATAACATTAAGAAAAATTCATGTCTTTGTAATACCGGTTCGATCATGATCGAACCGAATAAATATATACAGATAATGAAGATACTAAAATAAATTGAAAAATTAGTGTTTACGTGATTTGATGAGATTCACCTATGTTTATGATTCACAGAGAGATCCTTTTATAGTTTTATTAGTTAAAAAAAAAAACTGTGTTATATGATAGAAACATTATTTTGTTTAAACATTATTCTCTCGATTCTCTAGTTCTTTTACTATCAAATATTATCATTTTTTATTAAATAAAGCAAGACCCAGTGGAAGATAAGATTAGAGCGAGTCGTCTTAGATGGTTTGGTCATATTAAAAGGAGGTCTTCCGATGACCCGGTTAGAAAAGTTGATGTATTGGGTTTGATTTATATTAAGAAAGATATAGATATACCTAAAAAGACTTGGTTAGAAAATATTAGAAATGATATTTATTTATTAGATTTAAATGAGAATTTGACTTTTAATCGGACATAATGAAGAAAAAAGGATTTATGTAGCCGACCCTACGTAGTGGGACAAAGGCTTGATATTATATTAAATAAAGCAAGACCCATCATAGCCAATCTATTTATTCGGTGAGCTAAATGGACAAACTTCATAATGTCTAAAGAGCTTTTAATGACTCCTATATTAGTGTGATGTCCAATCTATCAATAAAAGTCATGTCTTAGTGTAATTTATTGATTTTATCATTAATATTATTATTATGGTTATTAGGCTTAGTTTGTTTTAGTTCCAATGTGTTACAATATTTTATTCCCACATAATTATCATAATTAGGAAGAGATTTTTTTTTCTTTTGTTATGTCAAAATATAAACTTTATTATGCATTAAATAGAACAAAGTGATTTTTCCATATTATTAATAAGATATTTTAATTTGAGAGATTATCCCATTATTAAGTAAATAATAATAATTTCTATTATATTAAACTTCTTTGTCTAAAGATAAGTTTACATGAAATATTTAAACTCTATTTCATCTATAGGAATTCAATTATTCAACAAGGCATTTTTTTGTTATTTATAATATACTTGTTAGGGAAATTTACATACATACTACTTTATTTTATGCTATTTACATATCTAACACTCAAAACATTAATATTACATACCTACCACCCATATACAACTTTAATATCAAATATACTACTCCTATAATTCATTTATATCATTCATACAATCCTATAAACTTTAATATTTCATTCCATGCACCCAAGTTTGTTCTATGAGTGGTAGTCATGTAATACTAATGTTTTGGGTGTTAAATATGTAAATAGTATAAAATAAAGTGGTATATATGTAAAACCCCCTAAAATCTTATAAGGAACTTTTTTAGAAATCCTATTCCCATATTTCGGCCAATTGGGCCCTCACAATGGTAAACCAGTTAGTCAAGGCCCTGCCTAACTATCTATTGGGCTAACAAGTTCATAAAGCTTCACCAACAAAGCGAGAACTTATTTTATGCCGACATCAGATAATCCAGAGGCCAATCAAAATGCGTCATATCACCCGATATACAACAGTACCCAGCATTGATACCGAGCAAAAAAGTGACGTTGCGCATTCTGGTTGGCCTTCGGACACCATCTAGATCCGCACATAATAATTTTTTCAACAAAACACATCGCACAATATATAGTGATCATATAAATGAATCAACCAACATTCTCTTAAGCAAAAGGGTACATTATTTTTTGCTCATTTTAATTAATTCATCAAATTCAATCTTATTTTTATGTGAATTTACTAAGGGAGTGTAGCAATGCCTATATGATCTTATCAATAAAGGGAATAAGATTCAGAAAGAAATACTTTGTCTGATATATTTTTCCTTTTTTTCAATTAGATGAAGCTATTTGATGGCCATTTATCTCTGTAGATGAAAAATAAAGATAAAACAATGAACATTTGACGAAAAAAATTCATAAAACTTTGTTGCAATATCTTTATCATATTCTCTCTTATCTCACATATTGAATATTTTCCTCCCTATATAATATATTTGTTAAAATGTATTAACTTGTTATGATTATAAAAAGTATTGCTGTAATGAATATTTATAGGGACCTTACAGTATAATTGTATTAGCTTGGCCACTCAAATAATCTATCCTTCTTTCTTTCCTCCTAAATTTAAATTATCCCTTTTGAAGGGCATTCTCCCTGACTTACTTTTTCCTCAATCCCAATCGGCATATCTCCTCGCCTGGAGGTGCATCCCAACTCTCCGTCCGTTGCCTCATCTTCTCAAATTCCTCATCACACACATTCCTTTCCACCGCTGCTACCCTCCGCCTCTCAGTCGCCGCCTCCTCCCCCGCTGCCCTATCAAATACGTCCTCCCACCCCTCCTCCCACCCAGCAGTCGCATTACACAGCTCCAAACCCTCCTTCCTCCATTCCATCCACTCCATCCAACTCCGCCCATCAACCATCCCGCTCACAATCTTTGCAGCACAGTCCCCTTCGCACACCACAGTGCATGGCCGACACTTGGCTCCATTCAACGGACCGACGCTCCCCATCGACGCCACTGGCACGCCGTGCCTTCCAGGAGGAAAATCGTATCGGCGGTCACTGAGAACACAGAAGGGTAATGGAATTTCCTGCACCTGTAAATTGGAGATGTTTAGTTGTGCCTTGAAAGCTGATTCAGAGTTTAGGTTATGGTAACCGAAGGCATCGAGGCGGGGAATGAGAGAGAGGCGGGAGAGAGCGGCGATGGAGGCCAAACGGTTGCCGGAGCCGAACCGGTCGTTTAAGCCGCCGAACCGAGAGCCGGGCGGGACAACGTAGGTTGCCGGTTGGAAGGTGGATGGGTCGAGCGGGCCACTCCAGAAGCCGTCTACGCGGGTACGGATGATCCAGTCATAGGTGCAGTGGTGGCGAGACTCATAGGCACTGATTAGCGAGAGACATCCCTCCACCAGATTGAAGTATTGTAACAGACCCTGCTAAGTGCACAATTAATATAAGAAAGGTTATCTTTAACAAAAATTAATTAAGAAAATATAAAATTAGACTCAAATCTCAAATAGATTAAAATGATAAAATGTGATCATCCAGTATATAAAATGAACTAAAAGAAGATTAACTTATGAACTCGTTCGACTCTTTCACATCATCAAATGAGCTCAGCAATGTTACATTGGACAGAAGACAGCGCATATATTCGAGCCTCAGGTGATCCGATTGCAGGCCTTGGGCAGGTTGGGCCTTCATAGCGGATGAATTCTAACACCACCCATCCATAGTGATCCCACGGGCCAGCCCGACCAGCAAATATTTCTATTGCTATAGCAATTAATTCAAAGCCAGAAAAAGACTGAATTAGAATATTACTCTCTACATTACTACATATCTATGTAAATATTTTATAGGGTATTTGATCTTCCCAAACATCTACACCAAAGTACTCATACAATTCAATTCAACAAACTCTTAGGAATCTCTCATCTTAGTGGGGATCATCCTCCTAATATTACTCATCATCATCTAAGCCGTCAAGTCACCGCTGATAATACCTAATCCTCTAGACTCGATCAATTCTTAGTTCATGTATAGCATCACCCAAAGAGACTCAAACTTTGCACCAGAGATCAAATACGGTCTCTCGGGACTCGTCTCTGCATTAAGAGGACTCGCCCATATAGAGTTGACTCAAATGACTCATCTGAAATAGTAGCTTGATATACTCACCTACGAAGACTCATCTTGAGGAGATCCTCGAACAAATGATCATCTCAGAGGTTTAAAGCTGCATGGTGACCCATCGGCCCACATCATGTGTCTTGTATAATTTACTAGCGGTCATAACAACAATGCTTGTACTTTTACTTTTTATTGTGTGTAGCATTTTACATAGCCAAAGTTTTGTAAATAAAAAATGAAGAGGTACATTTTAGATCTTTTGGACATCTTTTGATCTCTAACACTTTTAGATACTCTTAGATATTTTGAGCTTTCTCTTTTCTCATTCATTGTCCATACTTCACATGAGCTTCTGATTCTCTAGTTCTTGTCTAGATTATTGCTTGCTAGCAAAATTAGATATTATTTATGGACAAATTAGGATTCAACTCTTGAGTTGATAGCAAAATAATTCCTTAGATAGTAGATTTTTTGTTAATAAATGTAAATATATAAATTTTTTTGTTTACAACATGTGTGTGTGTGTATATATATATATATATATATATATATATATATATATATATATAGTTAATTAATTAAAGTGTTCGGTTTTTTAGTTATGACATAAACTTAATATGTGAAATGATAAGGTATCAAAACAAATTAATGAGTTTTAAATGTGCATTGATAAGAAAAATAATGACATTACTTGGAAAAGAATAAACTTTTGTTGAATTTTTTTCTAAGAATGTTAATTTTTTTCTAAGAATTTTTTTCCAATTATTGCAGGTCATATGACAAGTTGTTTGCAGATGCCCTTTCTGGTTCCTCCTCGTCGTATTGTTTCCCTGAGCTCCATCAAGGATCTTTTCGTGGTTTACCCTCGTTGTTGTGCCTTTTCAATTCACATTGGTTTTTTTTTCCACTCGTCGTCCGTCTCTGGACGCTATTCACAATTTTTTTCGCTCTGAAACTAAATTCTGAGTTCTCTGTTATGGTGCTTGACATACACATATTCTGGTTAAACTTTCTAATGACCTAGATGATAGCCGCGTGTTCTGCCATCACTCTTATCTAGTGAATAACTGTTTCATGAAGCTCACTAAATGGTCACCACTCCTGGACATCGCTTGTGAATCTCCGATCATACCAATTTGGGTTTCCTTTCCTAATATGAGACCTCATCTTTACTCTCCCCGTATCCTCCATGCCTTAGGTTCTATGTTCGGTAGACCCTTGAAGGTTGATTTTGCCACTTCGATAGGATCTAGGCCATCCCTTATGCGTGTTTTGGTAGAGCTGGACATAACTAAAACTTATCCATCTCAAATTTGGCTTGGGCCAGAGGTTTCTGGGTATATCCAAAAGGTCCATTTCGAGGTTTTTCCTGATTTCTACGAGTCTTGTAAGCATCCGGGTCATCTTAGGGGTCACTGTGCTTCGGCTCTTCTTTCTAATTCTAATACTCTTATGGCTGGGAATGTTAAGCGTCATGCTTTGGGTGTATCCTCTTTGGTAGTTATTGAGGAAAAGGCTAGGGAGGATCCGAGTCCACTGGTTACGTCGATTTTAGGGACTATTGGATGTGAGGTTGTTACTATGGCTTTGGCAGAGGGTATTGTTGTTCAGATAAGGAAAATATTATATGTGTTGATTCTAGTGAGTGTAAGGAAGCTGCTGATATCATTTTAGATAATGTGAGCATGGATTCTAATGTTGAGGGTGTTATGAGTCCTATTCCTTGCTTGGTTTATAATGTTCCCTCCCATACTCCATCTCACCCTATTGTTGAAGAGGAGAAGTATTTTTTTTTTTTTCGATTCGGTTTTGCCTGTTTCTTTGCCTGGTAATTCGATGGGTGATTTGGCTTTTGTTAATGCTGATGTTGGCACGATTTCCAGCCTGGTTTGTCCATCCCCTGTTGCCCCTATTTTTATTGTCGTGAATTTCTCGGGTGGCTCTTTGTCCTTTGAAGTTGATGTGAGGGGACCCTTTGTTTGTGGACCCTGGCTGTGCGAGTTTAATTGTTCCTCTCTACGGTGTGAATTATGTAGCTACTCCTTTAATTAATGGTGGAGTGGAGTCTTCGGAGGCTATCTCAGTTTCCTCAACTGATGGTGGTGATGTTAACTCAGGTGGGATTGGTGTGGTTCATTGTCCTAGGGGTGGTGTAGCTTTGCTGGTTGAGGTGCCTATTTCAGTCATTCTAATGCTAATTTACAAGTGCACCTAGTTAGGAATAGTGTCCGGTGGCAATGTGATTGGTTACATGATGATTTGCTATATGAACGAGAGGATAATTTTGATGATGGTTTGAAAACTGGTTAATCGAGTTGGATTTTCGTGTCGTGTCAAATATTAACACCCCTAGCATCTTCTGATAACTGAAATTTTGACCATTGAATTTATCAATTTTGATATTCTTATCTTTATTCATTGCTACCAGTCCCAAAACTAGTTTTTATAGGGTAAACCAAAGAGAAATCAAAGTAGGCAGGAAACCCATTCAAACTTAGTTTTTAACTCAAAAGCTTAATTTCATAGGTGAGATCAACTATTACAAAATTTTATTCTAATATGTTTTTTTGAATATCCTAAAACCTTCTATGCCTTCAAAAATATCTATAATATTGAAAATTAAGAAAAATTAATATCTTAGTATTATAGATCATGATGAAGCCGAGTAAATATTTGGAGATAAGGAAGACACTAAAATAAATTGAAAATTAGTTTATCTCTATCATCATATAAAAATTATTTTCATATTATATTAGAGGTCATAAAATATTAATTTTATTAATTTTAAATATTATTACTATTATTTATTATGTCATATGGCTCAACCCCACTCGGGACTCGATCAATCGAACTAGTCGAACCATGAACCTCTTCATATTCCGGTTCATTGTCCAATCCGATTTTGCCAACTTGACGATAATATTATTATTAATTTGTCAATATTGATGTCATTTTTTCATAAAAATATGGAATTATTTTTCAGAAGCATAGTGATACTAATGATTCACATAAGTATAAAATCACTTTATTTTTAATATATGCTAGATAAAACTTAAATAAATTATAATAGAAAATTAATAATCATCAAATTTGAGCATGAAAGGTAAAGGGCGAAAACCACTAATCATTAAACAATTCAAGTATCCAAATATTTCATTAATTTGTGTAATATTTAAAAAATGAAAAGAGAAAAATTATTACGTGCGGTGTCCAGATGTATTTGGAAGCCAATCTGGACACGTGACGCATCCGAATTGACCTCCAAATACATCTGGGCTCCGCACAGAATAATATCTCCAATTAAGAAGTTTTGAGTTCGAGTCTAGCATATATATTCTATGTGTGTTTAGGCGTTGCCCCTAATTTCTCCCCAAAAAAAGGAAAAAAAAAAAATATGAAAGCTGACCAAACGAAGCCAAAATTTATTTTTCTTTAATGTCAAGAACCATATAAAGTATTTTTAGATGATTTGAAGTTATCAGTGGATATAAGTATATAACAATCTTTTAAACTTTAACAGATAAGAAAAACTTTATGCAGCTTAAAAGGAAATAAGTTAAATAATAAAGAAGAATCAACGTTGCTAGTTTGTAAATGTGAAATCATAAAAACATGCATGGATATAAACAAAAAAGATGGGATATGAGACATCAGAATTTTTATGTGAAAAAATTAGAAAGAAAAAAAAATCATAGGACACGGCCCATATAAAATGATCTACTATGTAAGTAAAATTATAAATATACACTCTTCCTCTCAATTAAAGAAGGAAGAATAGGGAATTTAAGCTTGATCTCTTATAATTTTAACAAAGCTCACTAGAGAAGTAGACTAGTAGTAGAGACCGAGTGATAACAACAATCAGTTGATGTTAGTTGGGCATTGGCAGTACGACGACAGTGTTAGAACCATGATAATCATATGATGATAGTCATACGATGATAGTTGGATGACGAGATATAGGTGACGATAGTCATACCATGACACTTGGACATCGGTAGTCGAACAACGATAAATGGACTCTGAAAGGCAGTTAATAATGCTTAGACGATGGCAAACGATGATGTGATAAGACTAAACATAATCCCTTCAATATTTTAGTTAAATATGCAAAATAATTGGGAACCAACATCTGTGATTTTCACCTATCATAATATAAATTCAAGAGAGGATGCATTATTGAAGTACATGAAATTGGAAGAGGCATTGATGGGCCAAGAGAATTTATGCTATTTTAAACCGGATTCAAGAAGAATCTTAATACAATGGGTTTCAGGATTTACCTGTTACTAACCTGAAGTTAAATATGCTATTTATTTAATACTTATTAGCCCAACCAAAAGAACCTTTCTGAAGAATTTCTAGAGTATTATAGAAAATATATATATTGCACTTAGTGTAGCTAGCTGTGTAGAGGATAAATGGAGAAATTATTCTGTGCGGTCACGGACAGTTTGGAGGCGAATAAGTCATCTGGTACACAACAGTATACAAAACCGGTACACAGCTAAAAAGTGACGTGGTGCATCCTGATTCGACTCCGTACGGCGTCCAGTGACCGTACAAAATAATTTCAGTGATTAATGAGGCTTGTAGTTAGTACGTAGCCAAGATAAATAAAAAAAAAAGTTTTGACTTGGGAGCTAATATTATTGGGAGATTGATGAAAACTTTTAGATAAATAGACTTGATTAATATGCAAATTCATTATTTTGGCATGTTCAAAAGCTTAATACTGATGGTCGAGCTAGCGAGCTCAAACCTTTTAGGTAGCTTAAGATGATTCTTAGAGACTATTTGGTTGGAGGAGCTTTTCACTTTTTGGTGTTCCTTTGGGTGAAAAGCAAATCCAAAGTAAAATATAGTACATTGTATTTCATTCTAATTCAATTTTGAGGTAAAACATCCTCCCCCAATTTTGGATTCCTTATTCTGTGCGGTCACTGAACAGCGTCCAGAGACAATGAGAGCATACCACGTCATTTTTTTAATATGTGCCGGTGCTGTGTACCAGGTGACGCGGCGCTTTCATTCATCTCAGAACGGTCCTGTGACCGCACAGAATAATTTCTCCTAATTTTGAGATAGAAACTATAGCCAGATCAATAATCATCTGATTCACATTTGGATACATTGAAGATGCTCACAATTGTGAATAATTTATATATTAATTGGCATATAAATCCAACCATGGCCATCATAATGGACCAAAATCCTTAGCACTAATTTTAACCTCTTCTAAAATTGCATACCAATGATCCAAATGAGCCTCATTGTTTCACAACAACAACAAAATAAAAAATAACAAAAGTGCCATTAAGCCTTCAATTTTTATTAACAAAAGTCAACTTTAAAACTACTAAAAAATTAGATTGGATATCTTAAACGCATGGCATCCTAAGTCAGTCTGCCAAATGCACTATAAATATGCAAAACAGATACAATCCTCATATATAAAAAAATCCACAATAATCCATTTAATAAAAACATATTAGATATCTTCATATAAATTTTATTAGAATCACCTTTAAAATTATTAATTTGCTTTAAGATTAGTGAAATAAAAATTAAAAAAATAATACTAATTTCAAAGCAAATCAAATGATTTCTAAGCTTATTATAATCCAAATTATATTATAATATCTTACATAATTTTTTCATTGATCAATTTACTAGCACAATTATCCTGATTTTTTACTAAGGCTTTTGATTGGGACAGCTTTAGGCTTCTTTTGGGATAGGTTTTTTATTGCTTTTTTAAAATGACTTTCTAGTACAAAAAATTCTTGAACTAGAATTTTTTGTCCTATAAAGTTGCTTTAAAAAGTAGTAAAAAAACCGTCCCAAACGAAGCCTTAGGCTTGTTTGTTTGAGTGTTTTTTTGTCTTTTCTGTTTGGAAACGGAGGATTTTTTTTTTCGTCAAATCACGTTCCCAATAACTCATTTTTTTCATTTTTCTGCAGTTTTAAAAAAAGCTTTTTTATAAATGATTCTCCGTTAGAAAACTCCAAACTCCATTTCTGAACTAATATTTTTTAAAACTGTCTTTTACAAAAACACAAAAAAAAAAAAACAAAAAACAAACGAAGCCTAAGAGGGAGTGCATGAAGAAAGCTTTTTATAAATGCTTCTTCGTTAGAAAACTCCAAACTCTATTTTCTGAACTAATATTTTTTAAAGCTGTCTTTTACAAAAGTACAAAAAAAACAAGTGAAGCCTTAGACTACTGCTTTTTCCCTATTTTTAAGAGATATTTGTACTAAAAATCAGCTTTATAAAGCAATAAGCAAGCCGTCTCAAACATGGCATAACTCGCAGCTAAACCTCCTATAAAATCAAATGAGTCAAACAAAGAGAATAGCAACCATGGAGCAGAATAAAAGAGTATGCATCATAGGCGCTGGAATAAGCGGACTGGCAGCATTGAAATACTTATTGGAGAGAGGATTCCGGCCGGCGGTCTTCGAGGCCAAACGAGGCATCGGCGGCGTGTGGAAAAGCACGCCGGCATCGACAAGATTGCAAAATGAAAAGTGGGATTATCAATTCTCCGACTTCCCGTGGCCGGAGAAGGTGACAGAGGTTTGTCCTGACAGTAAGCAGGTGATAGAGTATTTAGAATCCTATGCTGAACGATTTGATCTTATAAGACATGTGAGGTTCGGAGAGAAGGTGGAGGGGATAGAGTATGTTGGTGTAGGAGAGGAGGAGATGAAGGCGTGGGATCTGTGGGGTGGGACCGGCGACGCGTTTGGCGGCGGGCGGCGAGGGGTGTGGCATGTTACGGTGCGGCGAGAGGAAGATCAAACTACAGAGGTACTTAATATAATTGAAACAAACTATCAAAGTAATCCATGGACTATTGGTAGGCAAATTAATACGTCCGGTGTCCGAATTCGTCGGGACACCAATCCAGACGCATCATGTCATCAAAATGCACTGGAACCCAATGTATTCGGGTGATGCAGCGCGTTTGGATTGGGTGTTCGGACGTCCGGTGACTGGACGTAATAATTCACCTAATATATGAGATAATTTTAGTTTCATATTATAGTTTCTTTGGGACAGCTTTTTTTACTACTTTTTAAAGCAACTTTTAGAATATTTTTTTTTTTCATAAAAATTTGTATTAAAAAACCGGTTTAAAAAGCAACAAGAAAGTCGTCACAAAGGAAGCTTAATTTTAATTTTTGTACAGAAAAATTGCTTTAAGAAGTAATAAGAAAGTCATCCCAAACGAAAGTTTAGCCTCTTTTTTCAAATATGATTCAAAAAAATAAGTTCATGCTCAAGATTATTCATTTATATGATTGAGCTTTTAAAAGTTTATTCAAGTTTGTTTATTTATATTATGCAAACAAGTATTTACCTATTCATCAAGTGCATTTATTTATTTTAATTAAAATGATATATCATACATAATTTTCCTATAAAAAAAATAATAAATAAATATTTTATGATTATTACACCTATGAAAAAGTGAAAAAAATTTAATAGTTAGATCTGAGCATGAAAAGTAAAACACAATCATTAATAATCATCGAATAGTTTCAATATCCAAATGTCTTATTTGTATATGTAAACTTGGAGTTATGTGATATTATTTATAGATATCTTAGAGTTTTTCCTTAAGAAAATTAGGTACATGTGATGGATTTCGTGATTCTCTGCATCGGACGGTTTGGCGAGCATCCAAATATTCCAACATTTTCAAAAAACAAAGGTCCGGAGGTCTTTAACGGTAAGGTGATTCATTCAATGGATTACTCTAAGATGTGTAGCACAACTGCTTCTAATTTAGTGCGAGGGAAGCGAGTTACTGTTGTGGGTTATCTCAAATCAGCATTAGACATAGCTGCAGAATGTGCAGATATTAATGGTAATAGCAAATTTTTTTCTTCTATTCATCAAATAATATCATGTAAGTAGAATATTTTACATTTTCATTAGTTGTTGCATTCAAAATAAATTTTTGTTTAAGCAAGAGAGAATTATTAGGAGATAGATAGTCAAGTTAAAGAAGTGGGATTAGAGAGAATGATTGGCAGATATTATCTCAAATCTTCACTTCATTTCCACTGATTTATATATCTAGAAGACTATGAAGAACATATATAAAAAAATGAACCTTCAAAAGGTTTTAAAACTCAACTTATATGAGGATGTTAAAGTGGTGATATTAGATAAACACAATTAGAAAAAGGAAAAAAATTTGTGTAGTTAAAATTATGATCGTAAATCTAAGAAAATTTCTTTCAATGCTTGTCAACAGGACCTGAATACCCTTGTACAATGATAGTTCGAACAAAAAGATGGAACGTATCTCATTGGATGGCATGGGGCATTCCACTAGGTTATATGTATTTAAATCGCTTCTCTGAATTACTCCTTCACAAGCCTGGGGAAGGGCTCCTATTAAGCCTTTTGGCTACCTTACTTTCACCTTTGGTACAATTTGACTCATTGATCTTTCTTATCAATATTATACCAAATGTACATCTCAAACATGCATGATTAACCATAGAAAATTTTTTCTTTCAATATTAGATGTGGGTCTTCTCAAAGTTTACAGAGAGCTTCTTAAAGAAAATGATTCCCATGAAGAAGTATGACATGGTACCAGAGCATAGTTTTTTTCATGGGATATCTACGAATCAGTTTTGCCTATTACCAAATAACTTCTATAACAAAGTGGAAGAAGGAAGCATTGTCCTAAAACCATCTAAGACCTTTGAATTCTATGAGAATGGTGTCCTCCTTAAAGACAATACCACACTGATAGAAACTGATTTGGTGATCTATGCCACAGGATTTAGAGGTGATCAAAAGCTAAGAAACATCTTTGTCTCTCCCTGGTTCCAAAATATAGTAGCAGGGACAGAAGATATGATAGTTCCTCTGTACAGGTACTTATTACAATAATCATCATTAATGTTATCACAAATAGTTTGGGTTCACATAAGGCACTTATTTACAAGAATTTATGTACTAGAGCTACTTACATGAAAGAACCGACTTTGATGTAGGGAGTGTATACATTCTCAGATTCCACAGATGGCCATCATTGGGTATTCTGAGAGCATATCAAACCTCCACACTTCAGAGATGAGGGCAAGGTGGTTGGCTTGCTTCCTCGACAATGGTTTCCTATTACCAAGTAGAAGAAACTTGGAGAATAATATAATGGAGTGGGACAAATATTATAAAAAATATTCAGGCAGTTCAAAAGAGTGTTATCGAAGATCTTGCATCACCCCTGTTAATATTTGGTACAATGATCAATTGTGCAAGGATATGGGCTGCAATCCTAGGAGGAAGAAAGGATTTTTTGCAGATTTATTCCACCCCTATGGTCCTACAGACTATACTGAGCTTGAGCTAAGAAAATAATACATACAAGTTTACGCATCGGCGGCAGATTATCATTAAAACTATATATCATGATCTATATTATATCTTATGCAGATTGATATTTCTTAAAAGAATTATTATAAATCTCATCACTTTGATCATCAATTTCTTATCCTACCTATTGCTTAGAAGAATTAAATTGGTTTCTCTTGTTGTTGATGATTTCTATCAACTTCAGAAATGAATGTGCACTTGCCTAGTTCATTCATTTTCCAAGAATAATATTATGTTTTCTTTAAACTTTGGGAAAAATATGTCTTTAGGATTTGAAGTTATAAGTAGAGATAAAAATTTTATAAATACTTTTCCCACTAGTTAGCAAGCAAACAAAAAGAGCTACAACAAAGCATTTCTCAATTGGAAATTTTAAGGGCTTACACAACCTACAATAGAAAAATATAAATAGAAAATAAATACTAACATGGCTCATTGGTATAAATAAACTAGCTTTGAAGGACTCAAGGCATTGAAAGATTAAGGCTACGTTTGAACAACTTTCTTAATGCTTTTAAAAACAGCTTTCTTGCACTAAAATTTTTAATTCAAGACATTTACGTAATAGAAAGCAATAAAAAAGCCGTCCCAAACAAAACCAGGGATAGCTTTCTTACTATTTTATCAAGAAGCTTTTTTACTACAAAATTTTCAAATTTCAAAATATTCGTACTAAGAAACTATCCCAAACAAAGCCTAAATTGCAACCACAATGTTAAATGCCCCCACATAATCCACCTTTATCTCCAATCGAACATATTTAAATGGTTACTATTTAAACAACTAAATATGTTTAAATGACCAAGTGATGGTGATCTGTTGGATAAAAACTCCATAGTATTGTTAAATAACAAAGGCAAAGGTAGGCGGTTGATAACGTAGTAATCAACAATCAAAACACACTCACCCAAAAATTAATGGTAGTAGAAACTAGAAAAGTAAATTAATTGACTTGATACCCTCTTTCATCTAACTAATGCACTCATAATTAATGAAAGGTCTAATATAGGCTTCCTTGAGATGGGCCTTTTAGATAAACTATTTGTCCTAAACATCACATTAATAGAGCTATCTCCTTTGGATATGGGAGATTAAGACTTCGTTTGCGACGGCTTTCCTACTGCTTCGTAAAGCGGTTTTTTAGTACAAAATTTTTTATTTTTGTACTAGAAAGCTGTCTTAAGAAGCAATAAGAAAGTCGTCCCAAACGAAGCCTAAACCTTAAAGCTCTCCTATTAAAGATAGGGATCAACATCTTCACATAAAACTGGATCAATATTGATTGGAGTTGGGCAGTGCCGAAGGAGAAATAACATAATCTTATTTTTTAGGAGAAATATGAAATTTTATAGCATTAAAGTTGGTTATCAATAAGCGCGTTCTAAAACTCGATTCTAATTATCATAATGATTTGAATACAAATAAATATTAAAGGTAAATTTTTATCCTTACAAAAATAATTTATGGCTCATTATCAAAAGCACTAGATCTATATGCACATTATCATTCACATGCTTTCTCATGACTTGGCTCTTTTGATTTGTACAACTCAGAAACAAAGCAAAAACACTTAGCCTCTGCTTATAATGGAAATAAATGTTACCTGCAACTTGAATTGTTCCGATTTCTTCTCAGAAATAAATGTCAGTTTGCTTCGACTGGGCTTTCAGGTCCTTCAGCTTCTTCAATATGTTTGTAAAGTAGTCCTGTAGATACTTTTCCAAGGTGATGATATCCTTCGAATCGACGCCGATAAGGCTATATGTGTCGTTCATCGGAGCTGAGAAAACGATGTCGCTTGATAGTACCTGAACAAATCTCTTGTTACAGTTTGCAGGTGATTTTGATTTCTTCATTATCAAGTTTTTAAAGCCATAAATCAAAGTCTAAAGCTCTATAAATTACATCAATGGAGAGTAATAATAAGCTTTACATTCAAGAAAGACAATGAGAGATGGTAACAGTGAAAGATTTTACCTCTGAAAATGCCAATCGATCTGCAACATCGTTTGTCCATTGAAAAAGTCGAGTAAGCTGGCGAGTCAGCTTTAAAACTGAAACAGGAACAGTGGTTACATTTGCATCTTGCCCTGCAAGTCTCTCGCACAATGTGATCACCTGAAATATCACAGTAATTAAGAGAAAAAATCTGTATTGGGCTGTAACTGAACTTTCTAACCAAAAAAGGGAAGAGGATATAATATTCAAAAGGGGGGATTTATACTTACTATAAAATTCTTATATATTTACATGTCTAAAATCTTCAATAATACACTTTTTTTTTTAGATTTGCAACTTGTAAACAAGTCTTGATTCGTTGAAGGGTTTATAAAGCTCTATTTTTCTACCAATGATTTTTTTTTAATTTCTGTAGGAAACTGTTTGGGTTTAGAAGGATTATTACCTTATCGTTTGATTTGAATTTTAAAATCTCTTATTCAAACCTTTAGCGAGCTTATAATTATCATAGTTAGCATTAAGTTTCCTGCAAACACTTCCGTGCAAATTAGATGAATGTAAAGACATACTAGAATAATATATATTTACTAATTATTATACAATAACTACTTACTATAACAACAACATCATCACCGAGCCTTTATCCCACTAAGTGGGATTAGCTATATGATTTTTTTTTTTCATTATGTCCTATTAGTATTAAATTCTCGTTTATATCTAATAAAAAAGTCATTTCTAATTCTTTCTAATCAAATCTTTTTAGTTCTACCTCTACTTTTTTTAACATCTATGATGCACAGACACGAACACGGCGACACGAATACGACACGACACGGACACGAGACACGTCAATTATTGGAAATATAGGACACGGACACGAGTTGGACACGACATTATAATTTTTTTGTTTTAAAAAAGTGCATAAAAATTAAATAAGCATAATTAAAAAAAAATAATAATAAGTCATTTAACTAGAAATTGTGCTTAAAATGATTAGTATTAAGATGTCGAAAGTCAGACGTCGATGTCGTTTATCAATCACCGAGAGAGGAGATGAAAATAACTTCACTTCCAAAGAGAAATGAAAATGAGAATATTCGATGAATGAGTATTAAGTGCAGACGTTGATTTGGTGTTGTGGAAAGGAAATAAGAAATTTAGTTTAAATCCCGTCAAATACAAGAAATTATATTTTAAAAAAATTCATAAAATATTTAAGATATGTGTGTCGGACACGCGTGTCCAATTTGTATTAAATATTTTTTTAATCGAACATGTTTTCGGCGTGTCCGACACGTGTCCGACATTGCACGCCTCTTTGAGGAGAAGTGTCGGTGCATCATAGTTTAACATAGGCCAAATCCAATACATCTATCTACTCTCCTAACTAGGTCATCAGAAGGCCGACGATTTATGTGACCAAACCATCAAAGGTGACTCTCTCTAATCTTATCTGCCACGGGAGAAATAACAACTTACTATTGATGAAAAAAAAAAGATGAAGGAAACTTGGAACTTAATAAATGATATATATATATATATATATATATATATATATATATATATATATATATATTTATTTATTTATTTATTTATAAATTGTATAAATATGGTATATCAATCATATGGACAAACAAAATCAATAAAGAAAAACAATACAAAATGATTTAAACTTTAAAAGTGATAATTTACGTAATTTTGGATTAAAATAGATTGACAAAGTTTTGAAATTAATAATTTTTTGAAAGGAGTTATCATGATGAAATCTACGATTATATTGACCCAATTTAATTTTCTCATTAAAAATATACGAGTCAAAAAATCAATAGCCAAATTAGAAATGAATATCAATTTAATTTGCAGATGCAAAGATAATTTCGATAAATACTTAATCAAGAGTTATATTATCAATATGTCCAAATGATTTATCAACATCAACATGTGCAATTTAAAAATCAAGGATAGATTCAAAATCCACTTCAAGTTTTGATCCAAATATGAATGCATATTAAATTTTAGATTCATGTTTTTCAATTTTGTTCCTGCATATGTTCATGTTCATAAAAATATACACCATGAACTACAATCATATTTAATAAAATTAGATATTGGCTAATTTTATAATGGTGAATATTTATTTTCATCTAAAGATCTAAAGCTATGTATAAAGCCATAATGATTTACTTTGGTAAATTTAGGTTAATTCATGCTTAATTTCTTTTCTAGCATCTTTAATTAAAGAAACGCTTATAACATAATAGCCTAAATGAGTATAATATTTGACCATAAGACCCATATAACTTTTAAAATATTCAAACATACTATAATCACCTTATCTAAATTTCATAAATTAATTATGAGGTTGATACCTATAATGAATGAATGCATGGGAAATATTTTTGTATTTTATATATTTCATTGTAGCAACAACACTTAGCCAAAAACATTAAGCAAGTCCCATTAAATTGATTTCAGCAAATTCAAATCTTTTGGAATCAGACATATAATTTCTTTAAAAAAAAAAAACCTCTACATTATCTCTTCAATCTGCAAATGCCTTGGGATCCCACCTTTCATCAAATGTAGAAATATAATTCTTAAACCTCATGATACTTCTGTTGAAATTGTCTGAAATTCTAGTAAAATTAATCACATTGCATCTTATTTTGTTAACTGATCCAATTGCTATGTCCTACTTTTAGAAGATATTGTGATGCAATATTAGGCTCAATCTTAAGGTCTATATTTTATAATACAAATCTAACATGAGATGAATGCGCCTCACAAGATGCAACAAAACTTTCGCGAGTCACTAACTCTAAATTTTAATAACTATTCATTAACTCTTGATGAAAAACTAAAATACGACCAAGAAAATTTTAGTTGTTCAATAGCCTTACTTACACTATAAAGAATGCTTAGAAATTCATAAACAAGAAAACCACAGCATATCGAAATTCATGCATCACTGAACCCAGATTGCATTGGGCTCATCATAGAACAGCTATCCAACAAAAACTTAAGAGCACGAAAAAAAAGTAGAATAAAAGAAATTACCAACGAAATAGAACCAAGTCTCTAATAAAAGAGGGTAATTCCCCGAAGAAATCGTCTAGCTTTCAATTTGATCAAGAAGCTAGCTCCCAATTCAAGTCTCCCATTTAATTATGAAGTTGATTCCCAAAAGTATAGGAAATAGCACATCAAATTAGAATTTTATTTGAAGCAAAATAGATTATTTTTGCACCTAAGACCCCAATTTATAAAAAAAAAACCATTTGAATACATTAACAAGTTAGCAAAATAGCCCATCAAATTTGCATACATTGATCACCAAATAAAACGGATACTCCTAAGTAAGCTACAAAAATAACAAGTGTCACAAAGATTCGAATGTGAGACGCTAACAAATTGTAAATCACGAACATCTGAGCCTAGGGCGAGTATCAAAATTATCTCAACAAAAATGTTTGAAGTCATGATCTACAACAAAGGCGCAGGACGTAACATCAGAGGTGGAGAAAGTTGAACCACGAGAACAAAGGAGGTCCGCAGCAGCAAGTCCAAATTCAAGGTTCAAATCTGAGCAAAAAAATCTATTTACTTCTATCATAGATGAAGAGAACAAATGTTTTTTTTTTTTTTCAAAATTTTTAATGCTTTGCCATTTTAGCTTTTGTGTTCCAAGTTTCACAATGTAAACAATATAAAAATGCAGATGGTATAAACATAGTTTAATTATGTAACATTGCTCATAGGATGATATCATTTCTTTTTAACAATAATGGACCGTCAAATTGTATATTCAGCCAGACTAGACACATTTTGTTAGATCTTAAAGTATCTTTGCATAATGAATAACATTTTATACCTCCTGAGTTGTCCATGCACGAGGTCCGGCAAACGTAAGAAGTTTCTGGTCAACTTTTTCGTTGCGCATGGCTATGAGAGTGAGTCGGGCTATGTCCTGGAATAACATTACAATGCTGTTAGGAAATAACAAAACTGCAAGTTTCTAAAGCATACAAGACAAAGCTCACAATTTTGAACTTAACCTGAGTGTCCATATAAGCTATTCTGGTGGGAGCATCTGTCCCCCATACTGACTTCTCTTCTAGTATTGGCACAGCATATTGCCCAATTAGGCCCTTTTGTTATGTTGTAATATGGACGGATGTCAGAAAATGACTCAAAAATGAAGAGCAGAAAAAGCATATAAATTAAGCCAAAATATCATGAACAGGCTAATTTGAACTCTTAACAGATAAAAATTGCAGCAATATCAATTGCAAAGGATATACAACAAGTCCAAATCTGACTAATGAATAACAACATCAAACCTTTATCCCACTACGTGGGGTCGGCTACATGAATCATTTTTCTCCATTGGGTCCTATTAAAAGTCAAATTCTCGTTTAAATCTAATAAAGAAAGGTCATTCCTAATATTTTCTAACCAAGTCTTTTTAGGTCTACCCCTACCTTTCTTAACATAAGTCAAATCTAATACCTCTACTCTCCTAACCGGGTCATCGGAAGGCCGCCGTTTTATGTGACCAAACCATCTAAGGCGACTCTCTCTAATCTTATCTTCTACTGGAGCTACTCCAATCTTTTCACGTATATGCTCATTTCGTATCCTATCTCTAAGGTTAAAGCCACTCATCCACCTGAGCATCCTCATCTCTGCCACACTTAACTTAGTATTATGCTTCTCTTTTAATGGTCAACATTCGGCACCATAAAGCATTGCAGGCCTCACTACCATCTTATAGAATTTTCCCTTAAGTTTGAGGGGTACATTTCTATCACATAGCAAACCTGATGCATTTCGCCACTTCAACCATCCAACTTGAATTCTGCTGATAATATCCCCATCTATTTCACCATCACTCTGAACAATAAATCCAAGATATCTAAAACATGTACTCTTAGTAATGACTTGATCACCCAAAGTCACCATCCCCTCACTAGGACTATTACTGCTAAAATTACACTCCATATATTCCGTTTTAGATCTACTCAAGCAAAAACCTTTA